GACGGGAGGGAGTTGGTTTTTGGGGGACAATTACGCCGACTTAAAACTAAGTACGACGCGGAATCCCCCTAGACCAGTCGGTTAGTATTACTCCAAACATTTGGGATTACTATTTGGAGTTGGGGAGTTGTTATTACGCTGCAGGGGTGTAGTTTCCTAGTCGAGGTCATCGTCTTGTTCATTATTGTCATTGTCCGTGTCGGTTCCTGAACTTGGTAAAATGTGTCGGTTGTTTTTTTTTATTATTATTTTTTATTGTTGCTTAGTTGCTCCCAACTGGTCTTGTAAATTTGTGAGAAGTGCATGTTTTGTGCTAACGTGTCATGAGATGTGAAGCATGGTCTACCGACTTTTTTGTCTTTAAGATCTAGTTTAAGGGTGGCTTGTAGTATGCTGTTGCGTTGTCTACGAGTGACTTGGACCCAGTATTTTAATTGGGCTATTCTTCCCCTTTTGGTAATGGTTTTTCCCATTAGCAGGTCGCGGGGATGTTGTAGATGGTAGTCGGGTAAGTCTGTCGTTAGTAGTGTAATGATCTTTTTACTCACCTTTAAGACCTTTTAAATACACATTGACATTAATTAATTGAGGCTTTATGGCGATTTAGTCACGGGCTGAAGTTAGCAACAGGATTTTAGTCTCGGGCTGAAGTTAGTTGACAGTTGTCAAATGTGATAAAATCGTTAAAATAAAGTGCCTTTCTTGTAAAATAATACTAAATGTGAAAACTATTTATATACTCAATACAAAAATACAAAAGTATTAAATAGTTTCTCAAGGCCAATATTTGAAAAGATTACTGACCTTTTGATTTCTCCGTAGTAATGCAGTTAACTAGATTTAAATGATGGAGCGTAAAAAATTTTGCTTACAGTGCCCATAAAATATTCTCTTCTCTTTTACTGTAAAAAACTGCTTCATTATCGATTGTTAGTCTTTTTTCAAGGGATAAATTTGAGATTTTAACACCGGTAGATTCCCAAGTTACAAATTCTAACGGGAATTCCAATAAATACAACTGTCACGGGCTGAAGTTAGTTTTAAGTTAGTTGACAGTTGTCAAATGTCATACAATCCCTAAAATAAAGTGCCTTTCTTGTAAAATAATACTAAATGTGAAAATTATTTTATTATCTCAATACAAAAATACAAAAGTATTAAATAGTTTCTCAACGCCAATATTTGAAAAGTTTATATGAACATTGTACTGACCTTTTAATTTCGCCGGCAGTAAACTATAACTTAAATTCTGACAAGGACTCTACTGTAAAGTGCTCATAAAACATTTTCTTTACTTTCACTGTGAAAAACTGTCAATTATTATGAAATACATTTCGATTTATAACCTTTATAATCTGTGTTTAAAATTTAAATTTTAAAAATTTGACATTTGACGGTGACCCACAGATTATCATATGGTTTCATAGATGGCGCTCTATACAAATTTTTGATTTAAATCATTTTAAGATAATAATAAGTATATGTCGTAGAAAAAGTATAGTATGCACATCGTTTGTAAACTTTTCTATACACTCATTAATTTAAGCACTCGCTCGCATGCTCGCTCGTGCCTACATTAAATTCGTGTATAAAATGGCGTTTATCAAACTTGATACATAATGTACTATTTTTAACATAATCATATTTTGAAGTTATTTTAATATTTAAAAGTATCAATAATTGTTAAGTTTAATTAAATTAATAATGGGCAATGTAAATGGCGAAAATTACATCAAAAATGTTTATTGGGATGGTTACTTTATTTTCGTATAGATTTCGATTTATACAAATATTTAATTTAAATTAATTTTTAGATAATATTAAGTATTTGTCGTAGAAAAAGTATAGTATGCAACTCGTTTATAAACTTTTCGAGGCACTCATTAAATTAAGCACTCGCCCGCAAGCTCGCTCGTGCCTAAATTAAGTACATAGTAACATTCCAATAAACAAACACACTGTTGCAAATACGAATACCTATAGGTGGGTATTCGTATATATATAATATAATAAAATATAGTTACCTACCTACATAATAATATTATGTTGTAAGAAAACAATATTATTTTTTTAAGAAACCTGCACTTTATTGGTACATGTTTTAGGTTGATTGACCTTTAGGTAATTATATTATAATATCAAAATTGTATCTACCTCATGCAATCAGGAAAAAACATCATTAGGATTAAACAAAAAATAATAAAATAATTAGAGTGTTCTAACAAGTAGTTTTATCTTCAATTGGATATATGTATTAAACTTTACCCCATACACATTTTGTTTTGAAAGTGGTTGGCATAAATGTTATATCACCCAAATTATAAAATTAAAATTTTCTTATTTGAGCTTATTTAAGGAGTTAAAGGTTATCCTTACTTTTGTTTAGCAACACTATAAGTTTTATAACTAAAGGTAACATAAATATTTTGAAAAGCACTATATAACTTCTTAAAAACGTTCGGACACCTTAGGTTATATAATGTGGATTTATTGGTTTCGGTTAAAAATTTCCCAAAATGGTGTTAGGTGAAACAATACAGCCACTAATAATAAATGAACTAGAAAATCAAAGAATATGTTGAACTAGCTTTGGATTAAATGTGGTAGGTATATATTTATTAGATAAGTATATTCCACGGTAATCAGAAATTGTTATCCCTACCGTCACAATACAGTTTCTTACTGTTGGGATAAATTTTTTCGATTATCGTGGAATATCCGATCCAATAAATATAATCAATCCACCATAATAAATACTTTACATGTGCATTACATTAATTAATATATTTTCGGAAAATGTAATACTAAAACATTCATAAATTTACAAAAAAAATACAAAGCAATGTGTTATAATAAAGACCTGTATAAGTAAATCATATTTTTTTTTATTTTAAAAACTGTTTATTAATAAATGAAATCTATAATATTTAAAAAAATAAAAAAATCCTTAAACTAAGTAGAAAATATTTATAATTAAAATATATATTTACAAATAAGTTCACTTAATTTTTTTGGTAGATTGTCCTCTATAACAAAGAAAAGCAGGTTTTCTTTGTCTTTATTAATTTCTTTTATTCGCAATTATCCCAATTTTGACCTTATCAATTAAACCTTCCTACTAAATTCTTTGGCGGTATTTTGTCTATAATAAGAGTTCTAAACTTTGTAAAATTAAAAATGCACCACTTGCTCATTTAAATTTAACAACAATATTAAAACTATAGGATTTACACCGGCCGTCATTTTTTAAATATGGCGTTAAGCAAAGGATAATTATTTAATGGTTTTTTAAAGTCCCATAAAATTGCCATATATGGGTATTTTATAGTAAAAAAATATACAAATATTAGCCTGAAAAATGCCATTGCAGGACCTTATCATGACAGCCTTTTATCAAAATGAATATTTTTATTAAAACATTTCTGTAAAGGCCCAGTACAAGGAAACGGTTTTTTACAGACCGCTAGGTAAAAAACCTGATTGGTCTAAATTACTTTCACAGCCTAGGCGATAATCAATCACTTTAATAGTAAAGGTTGACAATAATAAAGTTTAAATTAGAGACCGCTCGAAAATTATACTTTAATACTAAATGATTTAGGTTGATTGACCTGTAGGTTGGTAATTGTATTATAGTATTAAAGATAACATGAAGATGATGTATATAAAGATAAATGATAATTTCAAAATCGTGCAACTAGGAAAAAACATCATTAAGATTGCAAAAAACAATAATGAAATAATCAAAGTGGAATTTTATAGTGTTCGACATTCGACACCAAAGTGATTGATTATGAACTACTTAGGTATTATGCACCACACCCAAAAGTCCCACCACGTGACTTTGATACAAATACATAGTTAAGGTTAATTTTCTGTCGGTGTCTTTTTTTAATAAACCAGCAAACACATACGTCTGATTATGTAAAGTTTCATAGCTTAAGAATGGCATTTTTCTTGTACTGGGCCTATAGAGGAATGTTTTGATAAAACTATAACTCTTCGCGTTTGGGAGTTTTCCTCAAAATCCGCGATATTTTTTTTATAAGGGGGGAGATCAAGGCAATTTTTTTTCTAAATAGAAAGTTGCCCAACATATGTTTTAACATGTTTTCTTTACTAATTCGACCACGCTGATTTCAAAAAATCAAACCGCAGTTTCGTAACTCTTCGCGTTTGGGAGTTTCACTCGAAAATCGCGATATTTTTTTTACAAGGGGGGACCAAGGCAATTTTTTTCCGAAAAACATGAAATCGAAAGTTGCCCAACAAATTTTTTAAAATGTTTTCTTTACTAATTCGACTACGCTGATTTCAAAAAATCAAACCGCAGTTTCGTAACTCTTAGCGATTGGGAGTTATAAAAGTGTATACACTCGAAAACCGTGATATTTTTTTATGAGGTAAATTTTTTCTGAAAAACATAAAAATTTTGTTTTAAAGTATTATAATTAGTAAATGAAAGCGTTATAATTTGTAAATAAAAGCGTTCATATGTTAACATTCAAAGTTTAATTTACATACAATTATTATTACAATGAACAATATTGTGACTTAAAATGCAATTAAAAATCTATCGGTAAGAATTAAATTAAACGAAATGTACTTAGATATTTTCCCAAAGAGGTCTCCATCTCACAGTGACCAGTGCATAGAATATAGAAACCTTCTTTGTTAGATCTAAGAAATAATGCAATAGATGGCGTAACAAAAATCAATAAAAATAACATTATGTAATAACAGTAGAACGCGAAATACAAAATAATTAAAAATTAAATCATTTTTAAAAATTTACAAATTGTTTGGGATACTATGAATTTATTTTTCTAATATTTTACACCATCCACCGTGGAATTAGCTAAGCTCTTGGTAATTCATTTAATTTATTGAAAAGGGATTACAAAAATTACAAACAACCAAGATTACTTAAGTATACTTAAGTAATCTTGCTTATACTTGAGTATACTCAAGTGCATCTCAGTATAATCTCCCCCCCCCCTGATTAACATGTGTATTACTATATAGGAGCTAACTTCAGTCGTATATTGACACTCAGCTGGCCATTGTGTGTTTCATTATTAGTAAATATGTCGTTCGTACGGTTACCTTTTATACTGTTATTTTGGAGTGCCCCGTTTTTAACGTTGACGTCCTGTGAAATCAACTTGGAGAATGGCTTAGAGGCATTCTTGGACCATCTCAAGGCTCAAGACATGGTGTACAGATACAAAAACGCTGAGGTGCTTGATGTCCAGCAAAAGGTAGGTTTTGTTTACATGCGGTTATTTTTAGATTGTGACTACATTTTCTTGAAAGAAATCATTGTTTTAATAATCATCCCATTAAATTAAATTAAATCTTTCTGGAAAATGCGGAAATCCTGTTCATTATTTGGGAATTAAATGTTGACTGTAGGTGTTTCTACATTATTCTGATTAATGTTCATGTTATTAAATTGGGGCTTCTCGAATTAAATTATGGTTTATTTTTGTAGTTTTGAAGATGTTAAAGGTTACCACTGATAAAATAACATTCATCAGTATGCAGATTTTAAATTAATGTTAAAAGCTATGCGTAAATTGTAGATTATTTTGTTATTTAATGTAATAATATAAATTGTTTATTTCTTACTGATTTATTAATAAATTAAATAGGATGCAAAATTATTTTAATTTAATTTAATTTATATATAGTGTTTTAGAGGTTTAAACCCCAAAAGGAAAATAAAAAAATTGTATAAACAGAAGAGATGCGACTTAAAAAAACGGACTATTTTTTTGTTTTTTTCAGGTTTTTTTCATTGTTTTTTTTTCAAATGTTTTTTTTTTCATATTTTAGAATTTTTTTCCCATTTGCCTAATTTTATATGTTTCCAGTCCAGCTCATGGACTAAAATTAGCCAAATGTAAATACAGTCTCGCACTATGCACGCGCCACCACCACCAAATTGACCAATAAGGGCCGCGCTTGTTTTGATTTGGTCCTAAAAAAGTAACTACCTATAATTTTTTTGATTCAGCGCTTGATTTTTCAAAATCGATTTTTTTTATTACGGCTCCAATACGACAATTTTTAACAAAGATACAGCTATCTGAAAAATAGCAACAAATTTGAATTTTTACATTGCTGCTTGGTTTCTTATGTGGAAACTACCAAATAATAAGAAATCAGATTTTTTAGTCCCGGTCAAAATAATGAAAAATGTAATAATATTACAGTAATATATTCTACATTTCACTTTATTATTAATATACATTTTTAAGATTGATGTTATTTATTGACAGAATATGCTTTATTGCAGCGGATTTGAAAAAAAAACAAAAAAAACTGTTTCTAGTTTTTTTCATGGTTTTTTATTTCACATCTGAAAAAAAAACGTTTTTTTACATCTCTAGGTAGTACACAAAACCTTTTTTAAAATTAAATTATAATTTTTTTGAATAATTCCAAATAATTTGTAAATAATAGCGAATTAAAAAGGTACGCATTAATTTTTTATATTTAGTTGTATTGCGGAAACTAACTACCAACTTTTTTAATTTACTCGTTAGCGAGGAAAGAGTATTACATTTCCGAATTAATGCCCCATGGGGAACATGACCAAAAACAAAATTACTCTAAAATCTCCATTAGTTTCCGAAATATAAATAAATTATGTTTTAGTTAAATGAACACATATTTATTTATAGAATATTAATTAAAAAATAATTTTTTTATAAAGTATTCTTAATTTAATTTTAAAAAATTAAAATTATAACGAAGCTATCTAAATATGAATTTCTATTTAAAATTTAAAAAGATATTTTCTTACCATTTTTCTATTTTTGTTTATTTCAGGGTTGGCTTGAATTAATTCAAACTTTTACTTCTAATTTATAATAAAAATACTTATCTTTTGTAATAAAATTTATATTTTTCTCAAAAATCACATTTTTGTAGTAAAACCTAAATTACTTTAAAAATAAATTATATTTAGTAAATTAGTCGATTTTCTCACAAAAATTCATTTTAAACTATAAACCTAATTTTATAAACTATAAACCTAATTTTATAAATATAATAGCATCATTGAGTAAAGAATACTCAATGATAGCATTTTAGGATAAGAACTAGGGTTTTAACATTTCCGGAAAAATTAAGCGAAAATCCGAAAAAAACGGAAAAATTGTGAAATATTCAGAAAAATTGACTTTTGCATTTTTTTCATGAAATGCATTTTATTCAAAATGTCAAATTTTCAAATTTTTACGGATGATATCGAGAAAAAAGTGAATTTCTGACGCTGATTATAATCATAATATTATTATAATAAATTATTATTATTAATAATTAATTTTTATATTTTAATTCAGTAAGAATATTCTACCGGGCCGCAAAAAAATATATTTCGTGCTGTATTAACATAACAAACAAACAACAAACAACATAACAAACTTTCGTTTTATTTGACACTTCGTTTTATTAAATTATAATTTAAATTAAAATCATTATTTTGTAATTGGATATTTTTTTTGCAAAAAGACCTAACTGACACTATATTTAACAATTACGTTTATTTTTTTAAATCAATTTAATTTAATTCAATATTTGGTTTTATTTTTTTTGTAATTAAGGATTTTTTTTATTATTAAAATATTGTTAAGCTGTTGATTGCTACTTTTTTCAAAGGTGTATATTTTCCAAAAAAAAAGTCCCAAAAAAGCCAGACCTGGGAAAAAACGAAAAAAAAACATTTTTTCCCCAATTCTTCCGTTATTTTTTTCGACACTTTAAAACACTAACAAGAAAACAGTAAAATTAAAATTAAGAAAATTTTGATACAAAAAATACTTATATTTTGTTATAAAATTAATATTTTTTACAATTCTAAATTAATTACATCGAAAAGGGGTAAAAATTTAATTAAAAATAATTCATCTAAAATATAAAAATCATTTTATATTAATCTGGTATGAACTGAGATTATTATATTTAATAAATATTATTTATCTCTATACAGCAAATATTTATTTTGATATACAAAAAATATTACATATGGTAACTAATCGTGTAAATTAGCTATAGTTTGCGCTGTATATAATTATAAATAGTCCTGTTTTACATGTATTGTACCAGTATGGAGTATTTATAGACATACGTGTCGTGAGAACAAAATGCAATGGTTTTTCCTGGTATTACTCAGAATGTATCGTATGCATCTTTTGTTTAAAAGTCAGTCTATTGTTGACATACAATTTTAAGCACTTGCGGTTAAGATATCATTTATTTATTCACAAATTTCTATGGGAATTTTTTTTATAACTAAACAAATTGATGTAATTTACAAATTAAGATATGATAATGTCTATAATCATAAAAAAATGTGGAAATAAATGAAATTTCGCAAAAAAGTTATGAAAATTTATTTATTAAGTTCAATGGGAATAGGGAAAGTTTGATGCAATTTTTTAATCACTTGTCTAGCAAATAATAAATAACAGATATACCTACCTACCTATCTGTTGTTAGAAAGTTTTATAATCTGTGTCTTATGATTTTTATTATGACTTATGACCAATTTTAAGTAGGTGTAATGTTTTTCAAAAATATGCAAAATATACATTACATTTTATATTTTACACATCTACAATAATGTGTTTTATATTCATTATATTTATTAATAATATTGTGTAATATGGAAGATTTGTCAAAAATTAAAGAGACGAAATTATTTTTCATAAAAATTTATAAAAGTACTTCGTCCCACTTAAAATGATTAAATGGGATTTATTAAATGCACTGTAAACTTGTAAAGATCTATTAAAGAGCTTAAGTTTTAAAATTGCAATATTACATGGCAAGATTTTGTTTAAATAATTATGTATTTAAAAAAATAATAATTTTTTTAAATAAAAAAATGACAAGCTAAATTAAATGAGAATATATAAAATAACGTTTTGATTTGTTATTTTATATATTCGCTAAAGTAAACAAAATATTGTTGGGAAATGTCCCTGTAAAACAATCTTTTCATTGATCTGGTGCAGCAATAACTTACTTTGTTTAATTTTTTCAAACGTATTTTGTAAGTATTGAACAAAATAACAAACAAGAACATTTAAAAAAAATATGCGATTTATTGTTAAAAATCGAATATCCCATATTTTTGCAGTTTTATAAAGGATATTGGCACTGATTGATAAGTTTCCCTATTCCTAATAAATTGAAACTTCTAAAGTTATTAGATAAGGAATTATTAACTCTAACTTAATGGTTACAAAAAATTCACGTTTAAATTTTTTTAAGTGGATACTCTTTTTCATTGAATTATCATTATCCATGTAATGGTTAACCACAGGAATGTTTTTTAAAACAAATTTATTAATTTATTTATTTAGAATTGGGATATTTGGTTTGATTTATTTGGTGAACTACCACATTTTTGTTTTTAAAGTAAATTATTAAAAAACACAATATTATATATTTTCACTGTTAGTCTAAAATGGGGTTCATATCATAACATAAGTGGTTCTGCACTTTTGCAAGAATTTTAAGAAATCATACATTTTGAATTTTAGAGCTTCACGGAAGATAACTTCACGGAGGTTAGGATTTCGTATGTTTTTTTAAACATCCCTTTGTATATTTGAAATAAGTTATTGTATCTTTTGACACCTTAATATTTATAAAAAAATCTACTTACTGAGATACTACACTTCACGGTGGATAGGGTTTTAAATAGCAAATTAATGAACTTAAACTTTTGAATTATAAAACAGCAACACTCTCATCTGCATATAAATTCTAACTGACCTTCAGGAATCACATGCATCTATAATAAATAAATAAAGCGCCATCCGTTGCATAAAATTTAAAGCAAAACATAAATGGTTACAAAAATTATTTATTTTAATTTTTAATATTAATATTTTATATTTGATTCGATTGCTTTGGATGTGTTTAATTTACTTAGTGAACTGATATTTTAGTATGCTTTTAAGTACTACCTCAGATATTTAAAAACATATAGGTTAACCTAGAAAGAGTAAGTCACGGAGGATAGACTTTTAAAACATTGTAAAATATAATTAATTGTGGTTAAAAATCTGGAACCTGAGCTGTAATATCTACTTAATTATGAAAGATCAAAACACAATAAAAGTGTAGGTCAAACTAATTTAGTTTTATTAAATATCACGGTGTAACACCATATAATATGGAATATCCCAAAAACTGCTGTACTTTCAAACTTTTTGACGGTATTTTCGGATTCAGGGGACAATTTTACATAAGAATTGTCTGTTTAATGTTGTGGATTCAATGGTATAAGTAAAAAAGCAGCCACTAATAACTGTAGTAACTAGTCATTTTTGACTAATTCATTTTTAGAGAGTATTAAAGATGTTTTTTTCTGATGTTACAGAAAGACGTGCTTCAACTGACCATAGGCGTGGAAGGGGAATGTTTAAATATAATTCCCCAGATGCCTTGTGAAAATACGTTTAGGGAGTGTACTGGTTACATTCTAAAAGAGGAGGACACTGAAAAGTTAATGGTAAAAAATGTCAAATGCACAGAAAAAAGACCCGTAGTTCCAGATAGCGTAGACGAAGAACTGGTCTACGAGCCACCACTGCCAGACAGCGGAAATAATAGATTGAAAAAGGTATGTATGTATATGTATTTTGATCTAGAAACTGTTTTTTGCTCGTTTCAAACAGTATACTTATAATCTTTATTACCCTTTCGATTGAATTGGGTTAAAATATAGCGAAGATGTCGATAAGCATATCAGAAATGGTAAATACTGATTCAATTTGTGTCAAATGATGTAAATATTTATCATGTGAATTCATAATTTGCTTTTAAATAAAAATAAAATATGATTTATGTATCTTACGTATTAATTGACCACATACTTAAGTACCATTTGGCTTTGCAAATCTCTCGATTTGTTAAAGTATTTGCGAGATTACTTTCTAAATGATTTCTCCAGAAAACAATAAACCAATAAGAGTACTGCAGTATCTATCGAAATCTAAATGGTAAAATAAAAAGAATCTCTTCATATAGAAGTCCCTACTGACCTTGAGCAACCACACAGTTGATTTGGGTCTGGTTGCAGAATGCACTGCTATACTGAAGCTGATTGTATGGTTTTACTGCTTTGGGGTCAGAAAAAAATTATAAATTATATTAAATAGATCTCAACAACCAATGTCATTAATAATGGAAAGGGATTGGCAAAACTGCCAATAGGTCTTAAACCTATCTTGCCTTTATCAAAATTTGCCTTAAATTCCTAATTAAAGAAATCAACCCCTATAATGACAGATATAGTCTGCAGCTCTTCCACAAAAATCCTTCTAATCTTGTCGGAATTATCAAGTCACTGCAGACTCAACAAACACCTTAATACATTGAGAAAAGTGGACAGTCCTCTCTGTAGAGCCTTTAATTGGGAAGAAGAAAACGTGATGAATAATATTTATGATTGCCATACTCTTCTCGGGTTTGGAAAGTCCAATTTAGGAGAAGAATGCTCCACATCTCCCGCCTCCCTACTGAAATTCTTTCAGAAAAGACTTCTTGGAGGTATAACAAAGGGCCAAATGTGGTCCAAGACCATGTTCGAGGGATAAACCACTTTAAAATCAGTGAGACCAACGTTGAACGTTATAAAACAACGTCCACATATATGTGGACATTATCAGTCGTTATCAAAAAGGAAAAATCCTTATCAATAATAACACATTTCTCTTAGCGACACGTTGCGGATGACTACCCTTGGGATTGTTATCAGCTGTTAATTCGTAGGCGATTTTTAATTTTAAAAAATCAGTGGTTTAATCCTTGACCATGTTATGGCTACCCTCCACCAACCAAATCCATCCATTGTGTGTAGTAGGGAATGCCGTACTCTGATTAGTTAATTAATTGCTGATTGCTCCTGAACTAACCCTGATAGCAAAATTTGATTCTAAGAATCTTCTAAGAAGATATGACCCGGAATAATGGAATATTCTTAGAACCTTCCCTTGTTGCTGGGAATGTTCTTAGGGACTTTTAAAACATTCAAGATACCCTTTTAATGATGCAATTAGATTCTTAGAAGCTTCTAAAATGCATTCTAACAACATTTTAAGAATACGTTTTTGGAATGTTCTTAGAAGGTTTTTTATGGAGCTTCTAGGAAGCTTTTGAGAATATTTCCAAATATGTCAGATACCCACGTTCTAATATGTTGGATTCTACTAATAATACGCCTCACTGTCATAATATGACAGTGAAATGTATTTGTCGTCCCCTTAAAAAATTTTGAGACATATTAATATATATTTATTTAAAAATATTAAATAAACAATTTGACCTCTAAACCATAAGTTGTATGACATTATTTCATAAAAAGTAAAATTGGAAAATATTGTGGGATAAGTCAGATTAGATTGAAGTTGAAGATTAGTTAGGATTATTATACATAAAAATGTTAATTCAGAAATAAAAAATCGGTATACAAATTAATAATTATTTATTTTTAAAATAAAATAAAATATAAAAAAACAAAATAATTCCTTTTAAAATAATTCTTCATAAAAGAAAAAACCAAATAGTTCTTCATAAAAAAAACATTTTTCATTGTATTTAAGTTGGATAGAAGATTTTATGTAAAAGTCGGATAATTTAGATACCTATAGTAAAAGTATTGATTTAATTTGACAAATAACTATAAAAAAATATTTTGGGTTGTGTTTTTTACTTAGTATTTAATACTAAGTATAGGTACCTTTATACGTAGATTATGTTATATTTTACCATTATATAGATACCTAACTGAACTGAATATGCTTAACAGAATGTTCCAGGAATATTCCTAAATGAACTTTCTATAGCAATTACTTTCTAAACTTTGCACCTTCTAAAAACCTGCCTATAGGCCAGTGAGAATATTCTTAGGATTGTGCTATATTTCTTTTAAGCATGTTCTTTAGAAGAAATATAGCATGATCCTAAGAATATTTTCACTGGAAGGTTTAAAAAACATTCTTAGAACATTACTAGAAGAAATATAGCATGATCCTAAGAATATTCCCACTGGAAGGTTTAAAAAACATTCTTAGAATAAACTGTGCTATCAGGGAAATAGCCAATTAGGTGGGGTTTTGAAATATTGTAGGTACCTACTGTTTTATATTTACAGCTATAAATATTATCCCATGAAACCTTTAAGTTTTAATAAAAGATTCATTCCATATTGTCCATATTGCTAACCTCACCTTTTTCATATTTAGATCGAGTTAAGTCACGAAACTGTATCTACCGAAGCTGAGGAACCGTTCATGGCAGTCCGCAAGAACCAATGTTGCGGTTTCGCCACTGATGTCGACACCAACGTCGAAGGTGTAGACGTTCTAATCGACACAGCCCTTAGACAAGTCGAAGCTGACAGAGAAAAGAGACATTCATTGGTGAAAATCGTCCGTCTTCAAAAACAGGTAATCGCGAATTAAAGAGGCTTTTCCAAAATGAAGGTATTAAACTAAGCTGGTTTATTGACAGGTGGTGGCCGGTATAAAATACATTTTAACCATGGAAATAGCACCAACCACCTGTGAGAAGAACGCCGAACTGTCAGTGTACTGTCCAATTGACGAAACGGCTGGAACAGTCACTTGTCAAATCGAGTTCATCGAACAAGTCTGGATCAGCAAAGACAAACATATCATTTCCAATAACTGCACCACCACAAGGGTTTATGACGTCCCAGAAGTTCCAGAACGTGTGGTAGCACCTAAATACGAGGGAGAAAACGAAATTAACCACGGGTCTGGAAAGGTATGGAGCTTTTTTGTTGTTTTAGTTGGTACTGTACTGTTTTTCTTATAGGAGTTTATTTATTTAATATTTATAAATTGGTATTACATTTTATTCATTTTGTTTTGATTTCAATAAATTGAAATTGTCAATGACCGCATTATTTTTATTTTTTGTTGTCTATCTGCCTATTTTACATCGTGTAAGTAGTATTTTTCTAATTTTGCTGGCTTTGTATATAAGATTTTTTTTTCGCACAGCATAAGGTGTTGGATAAATACCTAGTTTACCCACAACATGGAATTTATATCATTTTTTTGGTAATGGTTTTAATTAAATGTAATAAACATAGGTGTATTGGTTTATTTAAAAAAATATGTATTCAGTTTCCTAAATTGTTTTAAACAAACAAAATTTGAAAATTTAATTTACATACAAGGTAGGTTCAAAAAGTAACGTAAATTTTCTGTTCAGCGATTTGCTTTTAATCTTATTTATGCTGGTAAAACGAATAATCTTTAAGGTTTCCTTTATTTTTGGAAACAGAACAACAAAACCGTCGAAAATTTCAGATACTTTTTGATCACACCTCGTATATATTTATTTGGTTTAATTTTTAAAAAATGTGTGATATTTTATTGGATTAACATTAATTTGCTTTATTAACTTTTTATTTTAATTGTGTGGAAGTACAACATAATAACGATTAACTTTTAAAAACTAATTTTAAGGATATGCTATTTTTTTATCATACAGTGGATCCATTTGTTTGCGAATCTTTATTTATTGTGCGATTTTAACCGGACTTGTTTTAAGTGTAGATCTTGATAAACTGTATTTTTAAAACAAAAAACGCCATATTTTTACAAAATACAAGGCCTTCTATGTCAGTTTTTAAGACTAATTTTTTAAGAATTCATATTAGCGATTGTTACTAAAATCTAAGCACGGCACTGGATTCATCACCCCTCAAAACGACCCTATACTAAATTTTATTGAAAAATTTTAAGTAGAAAAATGCACAATACAAAAATTTATTCTGTCAAGTTATCCATGAAAAAAAACATTGAAATAAAATTAAACTTATAGTAATAGTACCATGTTACTATTAGTTTTATTTTATTTCAATGTTTTTACATGAATAACTTGACAAAATAAATTTTTGTAAGTATATTGCACAATAAATAAAGATTTTACAGGGGTAAGTCGCAAACAAATGGGACACACTGTATAAATCAAGCCTATAATATATTCACAATCCACACAACTGTTCTTTCTCGTTTATAAATATCACGAAGTTCGGCAACCCACTGCACTGACTTTAGCGGCGGCCATTTTATGTTGTTTACAATTGTTTTGCTTTGGGTTTGTGCTGTTTATAGAAAATAGAACATTATAGGACATCCATTTTACTCCTATTTTGTAAAAAATAAACCTTATTCATAAAACTGTCAAATGTCAATTTTAAGGTTAATTTACCATAACCTTAAAATTGACATTTAACAGTTTGATGACAGCCCTGATAGAATAAGGTTTATTTTTTACCAAAGAGAAGTAAAATGGTTGCCCTTAGAACTTGAATGCCTCTTTAAGGCTTACAAGTGCCTCTGCAAGAAACACAACAATTATAAATCTGTATCAAACCGTCAAATATCAATTTTAAGGTTAATTTATCATGACCCACAAATTTACCATACTCACAAATCAACCCTAAAATTGACATTTGACAGTTTTATGACAGCCCCAAAGGAATAAGGTTTATTTTTTACAAAAGAAGAGTACAATGGTTGCCCTTAGAACTTTAAGGCTAAAGCTTAATTTTCATGTATCCGTTTGTCCGTCATCCGTATGTCAGTTTTTCAATAAAATCGTCCGATAAGAAATGTTCTAATTTTCATGCATACGTTTTTTAATGACGTTTAACGGATTGATTTTGCGACAAATAGAAATTAAGTGTCAGTATATTCACTTACTAAATTTACCTAATGCTTAATTGTCATAGTTACAATTATGTCAACAATTGTAACTTTAACAGTTAGCTGTCTAATAAATTTAAAGGTAGGTAAATATACCTTATAAAAAGAATATACTAGCCCCAATATACATTAAAATGTATAGTTTTAAAAAGCAGGTCCTTTTAGTTATAATTTTAATTTTTTTTTGTTTGTCCTTTCTTTTTTTCCGTTATTCTTATTAAATAAAAACTTAACAGTAAAACATTATTCACATAACGAACGTAATATTTCCGTTTTACAATATTATTGAAAAAATATAAAAATATTTGAAAATAAACAGATGTGTAGTGACGGATGAGTTAAAATTATTTAACCTTTCTCTGTCAGACGTACGAAGTTAAAACTTGAAGGACCGATAAAATGTTATAAATTTCGAATTATAATTCTACCAATAAGAGCGCTCCCGGATGAACGGACTGACGGACAAACGGATACATGAAAATTAAGCTTTACAAGTTACTCTGTAAGAAACACAACAATTATTAATCTGTGGGTTGCCTAAATGCGTAATTTTTAGTATGCGCGAAACGAGATAGAACAGACCAAAATTGTGGAACAAACCTTGTGTGGATTGTGAATATATCTACACTGTAGATTCTACAGGATGTCCAAAAAGTATATCCCAACGAAAACAGAATGACTTTTAAAATAAATTTTCTTCCTTAGCCCGGAGATCTGCCAAACATATCAGTAGAAGGGTTGTCGGACCTAGAATCTCAAATAATCCCGGACCAAAGTGAAGCAAGCTCGAACCAAATCGCCCGTAACAAAGTAGAATCACAAAATCGTGCCGACGACGTCCTTAAAGACATAGAAGGCATGATCGAGCCAATCAACGTAAAAAACAACTACGATGCGCCGCCTTTGACCAATTTGCACAGGCAAAAGATCGAGACCATTCCGGAGGAGCCCCATTACATTGACGATTTTGCGTTGCCCCCGGAAGACTATTTCCACAAAGTGGAAGAGCAGGTTCAACCCAACAAAAATAGATTGCAATCGGGTGTTTTCTACGATTCAGCTTATGATTATAGCCCGCCGAATCCTCAAAATTTCGAAGAATACATTAACGTTGGATTGGTATGTACACTCACAGACAAAATAATCGATCCACACAAATTTTCGATGAATTTCAATCGAAAATAACTTTTTTATTTGTTTTTGGATTTAAACAAATATTAAAGAATATTGTAGATACATTAATGGAGAATCGCTCACATTTTAAAAATTACTAAAAGATACAAGTACGTTTATAATATACAGGTTTAAACAAAAAGATGTTTTTTACTATAAGTTTAAGACACTCTATAGAGTGGCAAAACCGTATATTGTTCTAAATTAAGTTTTAATTATCAAGTCACATCTATTTTTAACAGTTTTGTTTTTGGTTCACCTTGATATATTTATTTTTGTGGAAAATATGGATTTAAAAAAAAAAACATTGCAATTTCCAATATTTTTCTGTATGAAGAACTAAGGTTTGCTATGGTCCATCCATAGGCTATGGAGAATGACAGTGACAGTTTTGTTGAATCATCCCATACTTTGACATGTTATATACAGCTTTCAAAAGCTATCAAATTGTTTTTTGTAAATTAATGTGTTAATTTTGAGGCGTCTTCTTACTTTTAAAAATGTCTCCGACTGATGTTTCCCTTTGTACTTTACTTCTTGTGACGTTTAAAACACTTGCCACGTAATACTGTGACCGTCCATCCTGGATTAAATTAATGGCTCTGGCAACATCAGTCGGAGACATATCCATTTTTTAAAGTAAGAAGACACCTCAAAATTTAAACATTAATTTGCAAAAAACAATTTGATAGCTTTTGAAAGCCGTGTATGACATGTCAAAGTATGGGATGATTCAACAAAACTGTCACTGTCATTCTCTATAACCTATGGATGGACCATAGCAACCTTAGTTCTTCGTACAGAAAAATATTGGAAATTGCAATGTTTTTTTAAAAAATCAATATTTGCCACAAAAATAAATATATCGAGGTGAACCAAAAACAAAACTGTTAAGAATAGATGTGACTTGATAATTAGAACAATATACGGTTTTGCCACTCTACAGAGTGTCTTAAACATATGGTAAAAAACATTTTTTTGTTTAAACATGTATATTATAAACGTACGTTTATTTTTTAGTAATTTTTAAAATGTGAGCGATTGTTCATTAATTTATCTACAATATTCTTTAATATTCGTTTAAATCCGACATCAAATAAAAAAGTTATTTGCGATTGAAATTCATCGAATTATCGATTATTTTGCCTGTGAGGATATTTAGATGTGTTTACTGCAAACATACATTTTTATTGCAAAATAGTAAATAACTCTTATCACTGAAGTTTGTTTAGACGTGTTACAAGTATAAATTGATTTATTATTGACTGATAGCACTTTTTATTTTTTAATAATTTAAATAATATTTACAGCCAAGGGAGGAGAATCAATTTGATCCATTTTCTCCAGACGTTTCCAACTATAACCCCGTTGATAATTCGCACATAGATGACTTTAATTTTGACGTTGATCAAGATTCCTATAAGTAAGTTAAATGGTGAAATTTTCTTCATTAGGTTGGCAGCACGTCCCCAATTAAAAAAAATGATATAAACAAGAGAACCCAAAACTAACAAAATAATTATTTTAGACCTTTCCATTTCGATGACTTCGCTGGCGCTTTTCCCGAACTATTCATGAATGACGCCCCAGTCCCCGAAAAAACTAACGAAGCGCCGACCACTACCACACCCGAGACTGGCAGCCCTTTGCCTGAAATTTCTTCGGTGAAACCTGAAGATACCAATGCGACCAAAACGGTTTCGTCTGAAGAAAACTCCAGCGAAGAAGGCAACAATGCGGCAGAAAAAAGTTCAAGTTCAAGCGAGGAAAAGACGAGAACAAAGAGAGATATCAAAAATAATAAAGGTAAGTGTTTTATAAATTATAATACACAAGATGTAAACTCAACCACATTTGTTTTTTCCAAATTGAGTCAATCCATATGAAACCGCCAAAATTCGTTGCTCGACCATCTTGGATTTTCCTCAAAATTTATAGAAATATTCAATAGGGTCTCAAAGGACAAAATCCACCCTTATTTATTTTTTCGCATGTGTCAAATCCGGCCTAATCGAATTAAAACTTTTTAAAAACGTCATTTTTATACTTTAATAATTTAAGCTGTAATTTTTTTTTTCTATTAAAGATATTTCAAATTTTAAGCTGTCATTTTAAAGCTAAAAAATAGTAGTTTTTATAAAAAAATATATAAATTTACTCAATCAATATTTTTAAATAATTACACGGTGCTGAAAAAACGTGTATTTTACTAATTTTTCTTGTTTTTTAAATGCGTCCCATGTCTCGGCTGTTTAATATAAACAGCTAATTTTTTTCATATAAAAAGCTTACATACAATTACAATTGAACCATTTTGGCATACGGTTTCCAAACAAAAAAATTGCTCGAAATTTTAAAATTCTAAAAAATCTCATTATATAAGCCATTATTAAGGATGTTGACTTCCAAATAGAATTATGAAATTTACAGGTTAATTAGCCCCTACCTTAATGTTTAAATGCCTGGTAGTTTGGTTTTGTTATTTTCATCTTTGAAGGTTATACAGTAGCTTTAAATAGAGAAAAATATTGAAATAATAAAAAGTCGCATTATTTCATCCATTATATAAGTATGTACCTATTATACTTGTGTTAGAATTATTTTGTGTTCTCCAGTTTTTATACTAATGTTTTTACAACAAAATGATTTAATTTGATATTTATAACAAGAAATTGGAATAAATAATTATAAAAATTTGTTTGCGTATTTTTCAAAAATTAATCTAACTAAGTATTTTTATCTATTTTGCGTTCATAATGACTTCATTATAACACCGCTTTCGGTGCTGTAATGAGATACTTTAACCCACCCAAAATTTTGATTTTATAGGTTGGCTATACTTTAAACAGCATAATATTTTGCATATTGGTTATAATATTTTTATGATTTTTTTTACTACTTACGAGATTTTTCTGGCAATAAATTTTGTTTAACACCAAAGAAAATCCTTATTTTCTTCTTTAACATTAACAGCCGCTTAGATGGCGAATAGATTTATACATTAACTGACAAACCAATGACTGTGATACCAAATAATTAAAGTAAAATTCGACCAAATTAAATTTAAGGTATAAAATTAATTTTTTTATAGAATTTTTGCAAAATAGATAAAATAGCATAAAGAACTCATGTCATAAGACCTTTTGTCGCACTCGTCCATTACAAAACTCGCTCCTTCGTCGCTCGTTTTTTAAATTGTCCGCGTGCGACAAAATAACGTCTTATGACATTAGTTCTTTAATATAATATTTTAGTATTGTTAAGTACCAATTTTCAAGAGCTTTCCAATAAGGTATCACAAAGAGGGCGTTGCAATTTTAAAAAATGACTTGGTAAATGTCATTTTTGTGGTATCTTTCCAGACTTTTAGAGCATTGCTCTTTTTTAAATAGACACCCTGTATATATACAAAATAATATATATTTTTAACATTTAAGTTAAAGATTCTGACGAGAAAAATGGTTCAACAGCCTCCAAAAAAGATTGTAATGATGACGATGACGACGATAATGATGACGATAATAATGATTCTAAGAGTAATGGCAAAGACGAAGTGGATTGTCCAAACACATCAAAAGACGGATGTTCAAAAAAAGTTAAAAAGAGTTGCTCAAAATCATCCAACAAAGGTTGTGAAGATGACGATGACGATGATGGTGGTTCATCTTCATCATCCAGTAGTAGTAGCAGTAGCAGTGATAGTGATGAAGATGAGAAAGGTTGTTCAAGGAAATCCAAAAAAAGTTCTTCTAGAAAACATAAAAATGATGATGATTCATCCTCATCATCCAGTGACAGTAGTGAAGAAAGTGACCAACATAGACATAATAGGAAGCACAAGCGTTCCCTGGGTCAACTAGAAAAGATATCGATTCACGAAAAACCTTTGGTGCGTGATTTGGCCGATTACGTTGCCGCCACCCTTGATTACAAAGATGAAGACAATCACAGGAATGTGGTGTTGCAAATTTTGGGCGCGAAGAAGTTGAAGCTCGAAGGGCTTTACTATAATTTGATTTTGAGATTGGGAATTTCACATTGTTTGGAAGACAAGCACGCGAACAGCGGGGAGTGTAGAGAAAAATTATTCGAAAATTTGACGAAAATTTGCAAGGTCCAAGTGCACGTTGACGCAGAGTACAGCAATCCAAAGATTGTCAAGTCTCAATGTCAAAACATCAAAAAGGACGAGTTCGATATAAATCGCACCAACTACAGCCGATACCGCAGACAAGTTAAAGGTAACTTATTTGTACTGTAAAAATGTATACAAATAACATTTATTTTTAGCAGGTGGTATTAAAGTTCGCCCTATAGATGATGCGGAAGCTTTGCAGTATCTGAAGACAAGTTTGAGTCAGATGGATTCAGAATCCGGCCACCCAAACAAATTGAAAATTAAAGAGGTACTTGCTGTAACTTCGCAGGTTGTTGCTGGTTCCTTGTGGAAAATAAAAGCCGTAGTGGTTTTGTCAGATTGCAAACAGGAAGAAATCAAAGACATTGAAGAATGCGGAGAACTCGAAGGAGCAAACACCAGGACATGCAATTTTAGTATCTGGGACAGACCTTGGTTACAAAATGGCAAAGAAACCGAGATTAAGTGCGATAACGAAGATAAATTGTACAAATATAGAGCAAAACGTCAAATACGTATGAATAAAATTTATTAATATTGTGTTAGTATGATATTATTATTTGTATTTTAGCTGGTGGCAAAACTGAACAGCCAAAAGATAGCGCAGAAGCTTTAAAACATTTAAAGAACAGCATTGGTCTTCTTGATTCCGAGTCTGGGCATTCCAACAAACTAAAAATTAAGGAAGTAATTTCAGTTCATTCCCAAGTAGTTTCGGGAGTTTCCTGGGACATCAAAGCAAAAATAATTTATTCCGACTGCAAAAAAGAGGATTCCAAAGATCCTCAAGAATGTGGGGAACTGAGTGGTGCTGAAGAAAAAATATGCGACTTTAACATTTGGGATCAGCCATGGTTGCCGCAAGGCACCAAAACCGAAATCAAATGTGAAAATGATTCAAAAACACACAAGTATAGATCAAAAAGACAAACCAAGGGTAAGTAAATTTACTACCAATCAAGCATGTTTATTATTGTTTTGTATGTATAATATTATTACATGTATTTCAGTTGGTGGCAAAACTGAGCAACCAAAAGATAGCGCAGAAGCTTTAAAACATTTAAAGAACAGCATTGGTCTTCTTGATGCCGAGTCTGGACATTCCAACAAACTAAAAATTAAGGAAGTAATTTCAGTTCATTCCCAAGTAGTTTCGGGAGTTTCCTGGGACATCAAAGCAAAAATAATTTATTCCGACTGCAAAAAAGAAGATTCCAAGGATCCTCAAGAATGTGGTGAACTGAGTGGTGCTGAAGAAAAAATATGCGACTTTAACATTTGGGATCAGACATGGTTGCCGCAAGGCACCAAAACCGAAATCAAATGTGAAAATGATTCAAAAACACACAAGTATAGATCAAAAAGACAAACCAAGGGTAGATTTACTACTAATCAAGCATTGTTTTGTATGAATAATATTATTACAGGTATTTTAGCTGGTGGCAAAACTGAACAACCAAAAGATAGCGCAGAAGCTTTAAAACATTTAAAGAACAGCATTGGTCTTCTTGATGCCGAGTCTGGACATTCCAACAAACTAAAAATTAAGGAAGTAATTTCAGTTCATTCCCAAGTAGTTTCTGGAATTTCCTGGGACATCAAAGCAAAAATAATTTATTCCGACTGCAAAAAAGAAGATTCCAAGGATGCTCAAGAATGTGGGGAACTGAGTGGTGCTGAAGAAAAAATATGCGACTTTAACATTTGGGATCAGCCATGGTTGCCGCAAGGCACCAAAACCGAAATCAAATGTGAAAATGACTCAAAAACACACAAGTATAGATCAAAAAGACAAACCAAGGGTAAGTAAATTTACTACTAATCAAGCATATTTATTATTGTTTGGTATGTATAATATTATTACATGTATTTCAGTTGGTGGCAAAACTGAGCAACCAAAAGATAGCGCAGAAGCTTTAAAACATTTAAAGAACAGCATTCGTCTTCTTGATGCCGAGTCTGGACATTCCAACAAACTAAAAATCAAGGAAGTAATTTCAGTTCATTCCCAAGTAGTTTCGGGAATTTCCTGGGACATCAAGGCAAAAATAATTTATTCCGACTGCAAAAAAGAAGATTCCAAGGATCCTCAAGAATGTGGGGAACTGAGTGGTGCTGAAGAAAAAATCTGCGATTTTAATATTTGGAGTCAGCCATGGTTGCCACAAGGCACCAAAACAGAAATCAAATGTGAAAATGACTCAAAAACACACAAGTATAGATCAAAAAGACAAACCAAGGGTAAGTAAATTTACTACTACTCAAGCATGCTTATTATTATTATTGTTTTTTATGTATAATATTATTACATGTATTTCAGTTGGTGGCAAAACTGAGCAACCAAAAGATAGCGCAGAAGCTTTAAAACATTTAAAGAACAGCATTGGTCTTCTTGATGCCGAGTCTGGACATTCCAACAAACTAAAAATTAAGGAAGTAATTTCTGTTCATTCCCAAGTAGTTTCGGGAGTTTCCTGGGACATCAAAGCAAAAATAATTTATTCCGACTGCAAAAAAGAAGATTCCAAGGATGCTCAAGAATGTGGGGAACTGAGTGGTGCTGAAGAAAAAATATGCGACTTTAACATTTGGAGTCAGCCATGGTTGCCGCAAGGCACCAAAGTCGAAGTTAAATGTGAAAATGAATCAAAGCCACATAAGTTGAGATATAGAAGAGGATTAAATCGTAAGTATATTTAAACATGACGATTATCAATAAATAAATAATTTCTAGAATTGGGCGGCCCAGAAGATCAGCCGAATGACAATGCGAAAGCGATAAGCTACTTAAGGGAGGGATTATTACATTTGGACACCAAATCCAATCAACTAAATAAATTTAAAATCAAGGAAGTTCTTTCGGTGACCAAGCAGCAAGTATCCGGTCAGCTGTGGAAAATCAAAGCTAAAATAGTGCTGTCGGACTGCGCCAAGGACGACCCCAGGGAACCTCTTGATTGTGGGGAGTTGGAAAGTGACGCGGGCCGCATTTGCGTTTTCCAAGTTCACGATCAGCCTTGGTTGCCGCATGGAAGAGAAACCGAAATACGTTGCGAAAACGAACCGAACGTGCACAAGTACAAAACTAAAAGATCCGTTGCGGACGAATATTGGTTGCCCAGCTCTGTTAAAATAAATCCCGAGGTGCACGAGTATGTTCAATCAGCACTGGAATACATGGATTCGAGATCTGATAAAGATACAACTTACGCTTTGAAAGAAATTGTTGATGTTAAAAAGGAAGCAGAACATAAGTGGGTCGTGTCAGTATCGATTTTACTTTCAGATTGCGCTAAAGGAACCGATGCTAGATATTGCAGGGAATTAAACCTGGGTTCAAAGGCTTGCGATATTAGTATTTCGTTACTAAACCTATCCGGAAGCAGAAGGGAAATCTCCATCAAGTGCGAAGGAGATGATAACGTGTATGCGTTTGACGATATCTCAACCACCAATGCCCTTACCCAAGAGGAAATCAGAACCATGTTCTCCAAATTCATAAACCATCACAGCAAGAACTACAAACACAAGAACGAGTACAACTATCGTCTTAAAGTATTCAAATCTAACCTCAAACTTATCGATGAGTTGAATAAGCAAGAACAAGGTACCGGCGTCTATGGAATCACGAAATTCGCCGATCTGACACCCGAGGAGTTTTCCCGCTCCCACGGACTGAGAAGCGATCTCAGATCGGAAAACGACATTCCCTTCGCTCAAGCCGAAATTCCCGATGTCGAGCTTCCAGTGGCGTTCGATTGGCGTGAAAAGGGCGCCGTGACCGAGGTGAAGGACCAGGGCCAATGCGGAAGTTGCTGGGCGTTCAGCGTGACGGGCAACGTCGAAGGACAAAACGCCATCAACGGCGGGACCCTTCAGGAACTCTCCGAACAAGAATTGGTCGATTGCGATACCATGGACGATGGTTGCAACGGAGGGTTGATGGACAATGCGTACAGGATGATAGAAAAACTGGGCGGTTTGGAGTTGGAACAAGACTACCCGTACGACGCCAAGGACGAGAAATGTCATTTCAATAAGAACAAGGTACGCGTTCAGCTCAGTGGGGCCGTTAATATTAGCCACGATGAGACTGATATGGCCAAGTGGTTGGTTCAAAATGGACCGATTTCCATTGCCATAAACGCAAACGCCATGCAGTTCTACGTTGGAGGAGTGTCGCATCCATGGAAAGTACTGTGCAGCCACAAAAACCTCGATCATGGGGTTCTAATTGTTGGTTATGGCGTTCATAGTAAGTTTTAAGGTTTTAAGGGGTTTCACGCTTAACTATATTGTATTATTTTTTAGAATATCCATTATTTAACAAGACCATGCCATATTGGATAGTAAAAAACTCATGGGGAAAATCATGGGGTCAACAGGGATACTACTTGGTGTACAGAGGAGATGGTACATGCGGCTTAAATCAAACCCCTTCTAGTGCAATAGTGACAAAATTAGTATAGACTTTTTGTGCATTGTGATATTTTTATTATATTTTATTTTTCAAAGACAGTTTGAAACAAAATAATATCATTAGGTACCCATAATAATTATTACGAATAATAATGTTAATAATTTCTGAATGTTTAATATGACTAATTTAACTAATTTTAAGATAGCAATAAAAATTATAAAATATTTTTTATGATGCAAATAAAAAATGGCAGTTATTTTGATTTTAATTTATTGAAAATAATGATAATCAACTCGTCCCAGAATCGTTATTTAAGTAGCGCCGTTATCATCGTAACCAGAATTAAGATTTTAATAAGCAGCTTTCAAACGCGTATGTAACAAGCGAGAATTGTTCATAATAAAGCCGGAAAATATTAAAAATATCGAAATGTACACTGGTACAAAACTAGAAGATCCGTTGGGGACAAACTTTGGTTACCTAGCTCTGTAAATATAAATCCCGAGGTGCACGAGTATGTTCAATCAGCACTGGAATATATGGATTCGAGATCTAATAAAGATACAACTTACACTTTGAAAGAAATTGTTGATGTTAAAAAGGAAGCAGAACACAAGTGGGTCGTATCAGTATCGATTTTACTTTCAGATTGCGCTAAAGGAACCGACGCCAGATATTGCAGGGAATTAAACCTGGGTTCAAAGGCTTGCGATATTAGTATTTCGTTACTAAACCTATCCGGAAGTAGAAGGAAAATCTCCATCAAGTGCGAAGGAGATGATAACGTGTATTCGTTTGACGATATCTCAACCACCAATGCCCTTACCCAAGAGGAAATCAGAACTATGTTTTCCAAATTCATAAACCATCACAGCAAGAACTACAAACACAAGAACGAGTACAACTATCGTCTTAAAGTATTCAAATCTAACCTCAAACTTATCGATGAGTTGAATAAGCAAGAACAAGGTACCGGCGTCTATGGAATCACGAAATTCGCCGATCTGACACCCGAGGAGTTTTCCCGCTCCCACGGACTGAGAAGCGATCTCAGATCGGAAAACGACATTCCCTTCGCTCAAGCCGAAATTCCCGATGTCGAGCTTCCAGTGGCGTTCGATTGGCGAGAAAAGGGGGCCGTAACCGAGGTGAAGGACCAGGGCCAATGCGGAAGTTGCTGGGCGTTCAGCGTGACGGGCAACGTTGAAGGACAAAACGCCATCAACGGCGGGACCCTTCAGGAACTCTCCGAACAAGAATTGGTCGATTGCGATACCATGGACGATGGTTGCAACGGAGGGTTGATGGACAATGCGTACAGGATGATAGAAAAACTGGGCGGTTTGGAGTTGGAACAAGACTACCCGTACGACGCCAAGGACGAGAAATGTCATTTCAATAAGAACAAGGTACGCGTTCAGCTCAGTGGGGCCGTTAATATTAGCCACGATGAGACTGATATGGCCAAGTGGTTGGTTCAAAATGGACCGATTTCCATTGCCATAAACGCAAACGCCATGCAGTTCTACGTTGGAGGAGTGTCGCATCCATGGAAAGTACTGTGCAGCCACAAAAACCTCGATCATGGGGTTCTAATTGTTGGTTATGGCGTTCATAGTAAGTTTTAAGGTTTTAAGGGGTTTCACGCTTAACTATATTGTATTATTTTTTAGAATATCCATTATTTAACAAGACCATGCCATATTGGATAGTAAAAAACTCATGGGGAAAATCATGGGGTCAACAGGGATACTACTTGGTGTACAGAGGAGATGGTACATGCGGCTTAAATCAAACCCCTTCTAGCGCAATAGTGACAAAATTAGTATAGACTCTTTGTGCATTGTGATATTTTTATTATATTTTATTTTTCGAAGACAGTTTGAAACAAAATAATATCATTAGGTACACATAATAATTATTACGAATAATAATGTTAATAATTTCTGAATGTTTAATATGACTAATTTAACTAATTTTAAGATAGCAATAACAATTATAAAATATTTTTTATGATGCAAATAAAAAATGGCAGTTATTTTGATTATAATTTATTGAAAATAATGACAATCAACTCGTCCCAGAATCGTTATTTAAGTAGCGCCGTTATCATCATAACCAGAATTAAGATTTTAATAAGCAGCTTTCAAACGCGTATGTAACAAAGAAGAGTTATTGATAATAAAGCCGGGAAATGTTAAAATATCGGAATGTACACTGGTACAAAACTAAAAAATTCGTTGCGGACAAATATTGGTTACCCAGCTCTGTAAATATAAATCCCGAGGTGCACGAGTATGTTCAATCAGCACTGGAATATATGGATTCGAGATCTGATAAAGATACAACTTACGCTTTAAAAGAAATTGTTGATGTTAAAAAGGAAGCAGAACACAAGTGGGTCGTATCAGTATCGATTTTACTTTCAGATTGCGCTAAAGGAACCGATGCCAGATATTGCCGGGAATTAAACCTGGGTTCAAAGGCTTGCGATATTAGGATTTCGTTACTAAACCTATCCGGAAGTAGAAGGAAAATCTCCATCAAGTGCGAAGGAGATGATAACGTGTATGCGTTTGACGATATCTCAACCACCAATGCCCTTACCCAAGAGGAAATGAGAACCATGTTCTCCAAATTCATAAACCATCACAGCAAGAACTACAAACACAAGAACGAGTACAACTATCGTCTTAAAGTATTCAAATCTAACCTCAAACTTATCGATGAATTGAATAAGCAAGAACAAGGTACCGGGGTATATGGAATCACGAAATTCGCCGATCTGACACCCGAGGAGTTTTCCCGCTCCCACGGACTGAGAAGCGATCTCAGATCGGAAAACGACATCCCCTTCGCTCAATCCGAAATTCCCGATGTCGAGCTTCCAGTGGCGTTCGATTGGCGTGAAAAGGGCGCCGTGAAGGACCAGGGCCAATGCGGAAGTTGCTGGGCGTTCAGCGTGACGGGCAACGTCGAAGGACAAAACGCCATCAACGGCGGGACCCTTCAGGAACTCTCCGAACAAGAGTTGGTCGATTGCGATACCATGGACGATGGTTGCAACGGAGGGTTGATGGACAATGCGTACAGGATGATAGAAAAACTGGGCGGTTTGGAGTTGGAACAGGACTACCCGTACGACGCCAAGGACGAGAAATGTCATTTCAATAAGAACAAGGTACGCGTTCAGCTCAGTGGGGCCGTTAATATTAGCCACGCACGGTAGGCCTGAAACCAGTCTATATTGACCGGATTAGCACCACGTTTTTTATGACATATTTCGAAAATATATATTAAAATAAACTCAATCACCCGTTTATAGCAAAATTACCCGAGCCGTTTCGTTGGAAATCGAAATTTAGGGCAAAAAATCACGAAAATAATTAATTTTGCTTGCAAAGCATTTATTAAGGTTATTAAGAGTTATAATGACATTATAACAATCAAAATCGAGTCCTCCGGGAGAAGAGATTTTACTATTTTTCCATGGAGCCTACACAAGGAGCCCGAACTTCATGTAAACAAGAATCTTCCTAAGATAAGAGGGCGCTGGTGTACTACCGGCCCAAAACAGTAGAGGGGTATAACCAGAGATGGCGCCACTACCTACCACTTATTATTGTGCAAATAGTTGAGGTTATGCAACTGTCAGTTTATCGCTTTCTAAAAACAATGTACCTAGTTTTGTGTATAAAGGTCTTAATTTACAATAAATTTATTTCAAATTTAACATTGGAATTTATGTTGGACTTTCTGATGTAGAGCATAGTACAGTTTTTTTATAAATACGTGTTTTTTTCTATAAAAGAATGTCGTGTGGCGTGTAAAATCAACAACAACAAAAGTTCAATATAAACAAATAAAGGTGGAAATTATTAAATAGCGGTGTATTTCTAACCTGGAAATCTAATTTTGCTTCTCCAGAGTCGTAAAATTACTTCACAGATTATAAAGAATCACTTATATTTCACAACCAAAACCTATTCATTAGCATTTACCTACAAGGTACAGCCATAAATAACAAAACGATTCGTACGTCAAAACATTATTGCAAATCAATTGTCAAAACTTACTTGCTTACTTCACATGTATTTTCGATACTATTTTCACGTCATACGGACGCATTGACAATCAGCGCCGCTGGTGGTGAAAAAAAAAAGACTTAATTTGTGCAATTTAGTGGACAAGTTTTGTCAATTTTCCCTATTAAGTTCGGGCTCCTTGTGTAGGCTCCATGTATTTTTCCGTCAGGTGGCACTACAACAAAAAGTCATCTGTCAAACTGTCCACTTTACGGACATAGTTGCTAAACTACACATTGAGCTTATACGCTGCCGAATAGTTTATTGTCAAATTCTGTACCTTATAACTATGAACGTTAAAATGATGTATGTGAAAACTCATGCTGGGACCCATGAAGAAAATCGCGAGTTTGATTGTTATGTTTCAAAAAGAAGGCGGATATGCGAAAAATTTCTGGAACTCTTCAGAGCGCGGTTCAGGACATTTTTCCTTTTAATCCTGAAGACAACCGTCTTCAACGACTCATATGCTGTGCTTGCAAAATATATATTTACCGAAAAAAAGGATCCGAATTCGTCTGCTGTTCAGATACTCAATTTCTACATTTCCTTCTTTACCAAAACATACAAGGAAACAATATAAAATAAAATGTCAGTGCAAATTGTGTTCGTAAGAACACTGGGACATCTTATACAGAAAAATATCAGTGTCAAGAAAAAATTTGCCAAGCAATGTGCAAGGTGTAGAAAATCTTTGCAAAAAGGACTAGCACATTTTTGGTATAAAACGCACACTTATGCAAATCTAGTCGAGTCATTTCAATCAGAATTGCCTCCAAAAGTACAGGAACATTTATTAACTGATCTGATTAAAAATATAAGCAATATCAATATTCAAGAACTCGGTGCTGACATGCACTTATCTCGACGCCATGGTAAACCTCCGAAATAATAATACAAAAAAACGAGATAAACAAATTCGTGCAAAAGAGGTTTTAAAGATTGGAACAGATTTTGGACATTCAACAAATACTGTGGCCTTTGCCTTTGTGAAGTATGGTCTGTAGACTCTAGTGGTGTAGCTGCGAAACTCATTAAAAATAAAAGAGATACACCTTGCACATTGCTAGGCAACTTTTTTCTTGACACTGATATTTTTCTGTATAAAATTCTGATGTCCCAGTGTTCGTAGGAACTTGCATAATTTGCACTGGCATTTTATTTTATCTTGTTTCCTTTTATGTTTTGGTAAAGAAGGAAATGTAGAATAATCGGGTGTCTGAACAGCAGACGAATTCTTATCCTTTTTTTTTCGGTAACTAAGTATTTTGCAAGCATTACATATAAGTCGTGAAAGACGGTTGTCTTCAGGATTAAAAGGAAACATGTCTTGAACCGAGCTCTGAAGAGCTCCAGTAATTTTTCGCATATCCGCCTTCTTTTTAAAACATAACAAGCAAACTTTTTCGATTTTTTTAATGGGTCCAAGCTTGAGTTTTCACATATATTATTTAAATGTTCATTATTATAAGGTTCAGAATTAGACAATAAACTATTCTGCAGCGTAAAGCTCAATGTTTAGTCCAGCAACTATGTCTGTAAAGTAAACAGTTTGACAGATGACCTTTCGTTGTGGCGCCACCTCACGGGAAAATAGTAAAATCTCTTCGCGCGAAGGACTCGATTTTGATTGTTATAATGTCATAATGACTCTTATTTAGTAAACCTGATTGATTTGCAAGTTAAAGTATTCATTTTTGTAATTTTTTGCTCTAAACTTCGATTTCCGACGAAACGGCTCGGGCAATTTTGCTATAAACGGGTGTTTGAGCTTATTTTAATATATATTTTCGAAATCTGTCATAAAAAACGTGGTGCTAATCCGGTCAATATAGACTGGATTTAGACCTACCGTGCACGATGAGACTGATATGGCCAAGTGGTTGGTTCAAAATGGACCGATTTCCATTGCCATAAACGCTAACGCCATGCAGTTCTACGTTGGAGGAGTATCGCATCCATGGAAAGTACTCTGCAGCCACAAAAACCTCGATCATGGGGTTCTAATTGTTGGTTATGGCGTACATAGTAAGTTTTAATGTTTTAGGGGGTTTGACGCTTAACTATTTGTATTATTTTTTAGAATATCCATTGTTTAACAAGACCATGCCATATTGGATAGTGAAAAACTCATGGGGAAAATCATGGGGCCAACAGGGATACTACTTGGTGTACAGAGGAGATGGTACATGCGGCTTAAATCAAACCCCTTCTAGTGCAATAGTGACAAAATTAGTATAGACTTTTTGTGCATTGTGATATTTTTATTATATTTTATTTTTCGAAGACAGTTTGAAACAAAATAATATCATTAGGTACCTATAATAATTATTACGAATAATAATGTTAATAATTTCTGAATGTTTAATATGACTAATTTAACTAATTTTAAGATAGCAATAACAATTATAAAATATTTTTTATGATGCAAATAAAAAATGGCAGTTATTTTGATTATAATTTATTGAAAATAGTGCTAATCAACTCGTCCCCGAATCGTTATTTTATTATATTTGTTTACATGGTTAATAAAAATTGGCCATGATTAGACAATTATCTTCGATTCCTAAACGCTGCAGCGCCAAGTAAAAACATCCTGTATTTTATGTAGCAAATTATATTCACCAACAATACAACTTCCTGACTTAATGTCACCAAATTGTCAATCAAATTAATGAAATTCATATAAAATGGTAAAATTATGGATAAGACAATTTTCCGCAGCAGAAACAGTTGTCAGACTGCTAGGAGAATTTTTTGGCACTGCAATATTGGTGTGCATCGGATGCTTAGGTTGTGCAGAAGACGTATACCCTGAACCGCAAAACGTTTTAATTCCAGCATTTGCTTTCGGATTTGCTGCTGCAATTTCAGTTATGGTAAGTTGTATTCTAACTTTTAAAAATACTTGAAGAAATAAATTATACGCTAAAGAACCATCGCTAGTAGCGCCACCACGTAGCCTTTATCATCGTAACCAAACTTCAACTTTTAATAATCAGCTGTCAAACGCGTATGTTACAAACACACATTTTAGTAATGATTTACGTAAAAATTGTAAACATTTCAATTCAGTAAAAAACATAAAACAAATAAGTCGTGTAAATTCAAACACCGTTATGCATTATTAAAAGCGTTGATTAAGAAAGACTCAACTCAACGGTAAAAGATCAAAAACGGGTATTATATTATGTCTTATATAATATTATGTTACCATGAATTTGTAGATATATTTTGTCGTTTACTAGGTATTTTAAAATACAGTTGTCGGCATTTTTACTTTAAGTTCAATAGTGCTATCGAGCGCCACCAGATGACGCGCGTGTTGCGAAAACCCGATGCTTCTTTAGCGTCATAAGCATATTTTTTTAGAACAAAGAAAGGGAAAATATTACCTAGTAAAAAAGCAATCTGATTCTTTTTTAAAAGGCAAATTTTTTTACATACAATATATTTTTTTCTAGGTATTCCTACCCATATGTGGTTGCCATATTAACCCAGCAGTAACGGTGGGTGCTGTAGTTTTGGGTAAAGAACCATTCGACATAATATTCTTTTATATACCCGTACAATACCTTGGTGCTATGTTGGGATACGGACTGATCTTTGTAAATATCTAGTATAAGCATTACAATTGGTATTTTGGTCATTTTGGTGTGCTATATCCGCACCATATGAAAAAACTATATATTAGAGCACCAATTTGTTTAATCCTTTAGCCCATAATATTTCCACTTGTCTACTTCTACACAGCTTTAAGCCCTCAATATGCCCCCCTCATTTTGGTATATCTAGTTTTTACCAAACGGTGCGAATATACACGGTGTCCAAAAAAATTTTTTTTGCGGTTGTTGATTTTTGATATTTTAAATAAATATATACTGAAGATATTAAAATATAAAAAATGAAGTTTTTACATTTTTAAAACCTTTTGGGTAATTAAAATTAAAAATGATTTTATTATACTTTTCATACCCCCCCTAAAGCGTGGCATAACTTTAGTGCGCCATTTTTGGGACACCCTTCCCAGTTAATTATACAGGGTGCGACAGTAAAATTATTAAATTTTTTTAAGTAGGAACGATTTTGTAGCCAAATTAAAAATGCACTATTTTTTGGATAACTAACTTGACAGAAAAAAATTTGGAAATTGGTTTGGTTTGGCCACAAAATCTCAATTTCAATAAAATTTAGTACAGGGTCGTTTTAATGGGTGGTGAATCCAGTGCCGTGCGTAGATTTTTTTTTAATCGCTAATATGAATTCTTAAAAATTTACTCTAAAAACCTGATATAGTAAGCCATGTTTTTTGTAAAAATAAGTTTTTGCTCCAAAAAATACAGTTTATCAAGATCTACACTTTAAAACAAATCCTATTAAAATCGCACAATAAATAATAAAGATTTTACAGGGGTGAGTCGCAAACAAATGGGTCACACTGTATACAATGGGAAAATAAAATTTTGCTTTACCTATAATTTTTCACTGCCGGACCCTGTAGTTACGTCTTAGGTGGTTAGTACCATGATAAAGTTGAAGTGTCCGGAAATTATGTAACAAAATATAATATTTCTTGCCCAAAAAATACTATTCTATGCCATAATCCAGCCTTAGAGGATGGCAGAGTAAGCATTAAAAGGGCAGCACCAAATAAAAAAAAATTCGTCTCCTTAGTTTCCAATAAGAAAAACTTTTTTTTCTACGAGCACTTTGTAAAAGTCACATTTCGTAATGGCATCGTTGCTTAGAAAATGAATATTTTCATTGGCAAGGCAAAACACGAATGTAAAGTGACATTTCTGTTTGAAAAGTGACAGGTCTGTGTGAAAAGACATTGACAGCATCGTTTGACATTCGTTTCAAAATTTGTATTGTATTTGGATATGTATGTCTAAATGTCATTTAGAACACAATTAATTGTGTTTGTTTAATAAATTCCAATTTTAGGGCCTTTATTTAAATTGAGAGGGTAAGTTTATTAATTTTAAGTCACTTATACCTTAAATATTAATAAAATAAGATAATAGTACATTCTGTAACAAGTGTAACAAACGTGTTTCAGACATTATTTTCTCTACGACTACGTAAGAATATAACGCTTATATAATTTTAAACAGAGAAAAGAAACCAAGCATATAACGCTTATATAATTTTAAACAGAGAAAAGAAACCAAGCAGTTTTTGACATTTAAGTTTTTTGTAATGTCAAACTATTTTGTGCCGTCACAATTTTATAATGTAAATTATAATAAATTTAAACAAATGGTATGCCTAAATCTTTATTATAATTAAAAATACTTATTTACACTAACTAATAAAAAAAATAACATTGTAACAAATACAAAACTAATTTTACAAGTAATCTAAGTCAACATCTATTCTTTTTCTACATTTTAAAGGTCTTTTTTTAAACTTTTTGAATCTGTCAAAACTTCAAAGCCGGTATAGTAGGTAACTGGTTTATCATTTTAATATCAAATTTATTATAATTTTGATTTGTATATTTGAAAAACAATAAATATAACTAATTTTTTGTGCCTAAACCTTAATTATACAACTGCTATTATTTTTTAATTAATTAATAATACAGTAATATTTAAATATTTTTAAATTTTTTACGTTTAGTAAACAGCCAGGAGATGTCGTTACTTGTGACCATTCTAAAACAAGAGTAGGAATATTCTCGCACAGTATTGCAGAAAAACATCCATTCTATGATTAAAAATTACACTAGAATGTTACTATTCTTAAGTAGTCGTAGAGAAAAGTAATTTTAACAGCTGTCAAACACGTTTTTAGGTTATATTGTTTTGAATTTGAATATAATAAAAAATAAAAGGGTCGTAGAAAAAACATTGTGTTTCACTTGTGAGAAAATCTTTCTTCAAGCTCGTGAGCAACTTAAACACTCGCATGAAAAAGTCGCTTTTCAACACAAAACAAATAACTATTTATTATTCGTTACACGAAAAAGAATCATTTTTCATAAAAACTCCTACTTTAAAAAAAAATGAGATTCCCATAAAAAAATTGAATCAAATATATTTGAATAATTTGAATAAAAATTCAATGGTACCATTTTAATAAATAAAAATATTATAAATAAGAGATCAATTAATTAATCCGATTTATTTTGAGTCAGGGAATATTAGTGTTTTTCGTACACCCTGTATAATAATTAATTTTCGACATTTATTTTTTAGGCGTTAGTTCCAAATTTTGAACCGTATGATGAGACATTTTTTAGCAACAAAATATGTATGTTGCACGTGCGACCAGAAATGAACGTTTTCAACGTTGGTTTGGAAGATTTTATGTGATTCTATTTAGTAATTTATTTTGTCTATTAGGTTTTTGTATGGGAAGCAGTAGGCACGTGGATATTAGTTTGGTTAGTATGTTCCTTAATGGACAAAAGAAACGAAGATAAGACGTCTACTGTAGCTTTAAGAGTAGGGGTTGGTATTACAGCATTGGTATTGGGATTGGTATAAATGTCATTTAATTTATCTATATTTTTTTATTTATTTATATTTTAAGGGGCCTTTTTCTGGGTGCGGAATCAACCCAGCCCGAGCCTTACCTCCAGCTGTATTTTATAACTATTATGAAGATCATTGGGTAATAATATTTAACATGAAATGTTGTCAAATAGCTTTATTAAATTTTAGATTTTTCAATTTGGTCCTTACTTAGGTGGAATACTTGCTGGTTTTTCTTTCAGGTTTATTTTTGAACTTGACGAAAAACATAGTATTATTAATGTAGGCAAACAAGCAGAAGATGTGTAATCTTTTTTACCTAGAATTTTACAGATTTATATTACTATAATAAATGTTTTATCACAAAAAAGTATATCTAGTCTTATAAGTTATACTCGTAATGTATATTTTATTTAAAAAATTAAATTATAAAAGATTAAAAAGATAGTTTAATTAAAAATAGATATCCACAGTATCCACATTATTAAAGAATCATTAAAAAATGAAATAATATTTTTTTACAACCAGGTTGCACGGTGTGAACGAAGTTTAAGTCACATAAAAATGCCGCCAAAAACTGATTGCAGTTTCTTGTTCGGGACCCTTTGCTGACTTAAAAATAATATTTACCAAAATCCTAGCTGCTTCTCTTTTCGAATTTTTTTGAAAATTCATGATTTTTTTTAAATTTTTGTTTATTTCAAAGTCTACCTACCTTTGACAGAGTACACATTTGTACACCGATTTTTATAAAATTAGAGTATATTATTGAGGAGACTTAAAGAATACTTTTTAATACTGTTCACATCATTTGATATATACAGGGTGAGCCAAAAATCGCTTATTTTCAATAAAGCAAAAGCCTAAATTCATGATTTTGGCATAACAAGCAAAAAAGATACTCGGGAATTTTTGTAGCGTCCGTTACAATCAAAAATTGTGAGTAAAAGCTACCGTAATTAAATTAAATACCGTTACAATAGTTAGGCTTAAACTTATAAGCATAATAATTATGGTAGTTTTACTCACAATTTTTTATTGTAACGGACGCTACAAAAATTCCCGAGTAGCGTGGAATGGCTGTTATCCCCATTTTTTTTAGATATTTCTACATTTATCAGGTTATAAAATGGCATTCTTATTAACCTTTTATACAAAAAATAGATTTTTAATAAAATTAAATAAAATAACGCTTAGAGAATATTTAAAATGTTCTTTAATTTAGGCTTTTTAGAAGTTTTCAATTTTGAACGAAAAACTGGTTAAAGTTTTTTGATCGGCACTCTTTGGAGATTTATAAACGATATTTACCAAAATACTAACTGATTTTTTTTTTAATTTTAAAAAATCATTTTTTTTTTTAATTTATTTGTTTATCGCAAAGTCTACCTTTGCCATAATTAATTTTATTTAAACTTTTAATATCTTAGCAACTATTGAACAGATTATAGATATGCGTTGAATAGAGAATCGAAATACCTTTCAAATACGGTATGACAAGCCCCCTTTTCTTTTAAAATTTTATGTTAATTCTTCCCTTTTGGTACCTCTTAAATATGCATCTATCAATTTGACGTCAAAAAGTAGTCTACTGATTTTTTTAAATTTATCTACCTACTTGTTCATAAATTAGATTTATTTTATCTACTATTAAAATGGTCATTCTTTAATTTAATTTAATATCTGATCAATATGACGTCATGCTGCGTTGTCAAATAGCATTTAAATTGTTTTTTTTCAATGAGAAGAGTGATATTAAAGAATTAATAAAGTGTTTTTCATAACACCCTGTTGAGGGACTATTATTTTTGTGTTGTTTTATCATTTGGGTCATATCTAAAAATTAAAATAAATCTTATCAAACACTAATTTATGTCTGTATTCGTTTGATCTTCATAATTTACTGTTTATCATCGAACAAAGAACAACTAGTACTTTGCTAAATGGAGGAAACGTAAGTATAAATATTTAATATTAAAATTATGAAAATATAACTAAATAATTTTAGATCCCATATAGAGTTCTTCCTGGGAGAAAGTTTACATACTGGTAAGATTTATTAATTTAAACAAATTTTGTTTAGGTAAACATAAATTATATAACATAATTAATTACTTACTGTATAGTGGAACCAAAAGACGTTACACCGGAAACATCTCTAAATACATATTTAAGGGACAAAATACATTTAACCGGTACCAAAAGATGCTGTTTGGAGGGGGGGTGTGGGGCATGTGTTGTCGCAGTCGAGCATACCGATCCAATATCAGGAATAACAAAATTTTTTGCAGTTAATTCGGTAAGAATGTTTATGTTTATTTATTTATTTTTTGCATCACCCAAGTTGATGCCAAGACACATCTAAAAGATAAGATAGAACATTAGAAAATCCATATAACCACTTATAAAATTAAACAATAAAAACAGTTTCTAAACAAATCATTTGCCTCTAACCTTTAACGAAATAATTGACCTTAATATCAAAAATACTATTATTGGTGAGTTTGGGTTTGATAAATACGGTATACAGGGTGTTTCACATTCATGATCCATTGGAAGTTTCTGGGGAACGGTTTTACCGGAAGTGCCATCAACTTTGTTATTTTAAATAGAACATCCCATATATTTTTACATTTTTAAATTCTGTATTAAATTCTGAGTAAAACTACTATACCATGACATAGATCATGGTATAGTAGTGAATACTTTTCAAATTATTTTTTTTTTTCGAAAAAACATATTAAATGTGGCAATTTAAAAATGAAAAATATATCAAACTCATTCATATATTAAATATTACAACTAAAAAAGCAACAAAAACTATTGGAACAAAATCTTATACTTATTTAGCTCCCAGACTGTAAAATTGTTTGCCTATCTGTTTAAAAAATATTTAATAAATGTGTGATTCTACAAAAGTTGGTAAACTTCTCATTTTGTTTATATAGTTTTCGGAGAAAATTAAACAGTATTTTGTTAAGAGAACATAGATAATATAATAAATATACTGTTCCAGACCGGACCAGTCACTTTTTCAAACAGTTTCTGAAATATCTATGTTTTCTAAATTTGAATGCAAGGGAAGTGACGAGTATACCAGGGTACTAATTAAATACATAATTTATTGGGAAATATAAGATTTATTGCAACTTTCAGCATATTATACATTAAATATCTTAAAATCAAACAATACCACACATCAGTGGCGGCTGGTGGATTTTGGGTATACCGATATCTCAATTATTAGATATGAGTTTATAATGACATTAAATAAACAAGTTCTGCGCAAGCAGAATTTAAATTGAAGTTTGCAAAAAAAAGATAACCGAAACATCGAACATGGAACTGACGACATGGAACTGACTTACTACTCACCACAGTACTGAAATTTTGACTGGAACTATACGTGCATCCACCACAACTTCGCCGCTTGCATTGTTTTCAAGATGACTGTCGTAAAAAGGGCGGGCTCTGTAGGAAATTTTTACCAACACTTGAGTTAAAATTAGGAATTGACGTTTAAACTCGCAGGAATTTTGAATTTTAACATTGGACGCAGAACTGACGGGTAAAAGTGAGTACAAAGATTATCAATTTTTAAAAAATTGCTATTATTGGAATCTATGATAAAATATGAAAAATACATTATTTCATGTTTTATAGTTTGTAGTGAAATTGAAAAATTTAAGATAAATTGAATATATTTTAAAATACAATCACTCAAATATTTGATTCAGGAGTTGTGACACGCCAATGCTAATGTTTTGAATATTTATTATGTTTTTCTACAAACTTGCTTTTGAAAAAATACATTAAAATTGGGTGGACAAGTTAAAAAAACCTGGATCTTTTGTAATATACATACTAAAATATTTACAAAAAATATTAAAATACCTACTCTATTGACTGATGACATCAAGTTGTCCAACTTTTGTAGAATCACCCAAATAACAAATAAAAAATTAAAGTTTGGTTATTTCAACAATCTTCATATAAAATAGAAAATTATATTGAAAAGGTTAGGTTTGATATGACATATTTTTATATAATATATTGTAGTAGGTAGTAATTTTAAGAATGATGTTATGTACTATAATATAATATATTATAGTACATAACATGCACTAATACGTGCATTATTATTATTAAATAATTATGTATCTATGAAGAATACTTTATTAATTTGTCATTAGCACCCACAACAAGCATTATCTTGCTTAGTGGGGAGTACTTTTATTTATTTAATTTTTAAGTTCTACTCTTCTACTATATTTTATTTTAAGATTGTGCACATAAAATTCATATTGTACTTTTTCACCCCCATTTTCGCAAACCTAATAACAAAAAAGGCTATTTTTGATGCGCATTTCTCAAATTTTAACGAAAACAATTAACATGTCGAAAACTTTTCACTTTAGGTATAGGATACGGTATAATAATTTTACTTAGAATTTTATGAAAAATTTAAAAATGTAAAAATAGATGGGGTGTTCTATTGGAAATAAGAAAGTTGATGTCACTTCCGGTTAAACCGGAAGTGGAATTTTGTTCAAAATATAAACGCTTTTAAAATTTTGAACTTTAAACTTCTAATGGACAACGAAAATTAAACAATAAAATAAGTAATAATTAAATTATTTAAAACGCCCTTTATCCTACATGTTTCCATGACACTAAGTGACCTTTTAAATACACATTGACAAGTTGTGGCTTTACGGCGCTTTAGTCTCGGGCTGAAGTTAGCAACAGGTTTTTAGTCACGGGCTGAAGTTAGTTTTAAGTTAGTTGACAGTTGTCAAATGTCATACAATCGTTAAAATAAAGTGTAAATTGTAAAATAATACTAAATGTGAAAATTATTTTATTATCTCAATACAAAAATATTAAATAGTTTCTCAACGTCAATATTTGAAAAGTTTATATGAACATTGTACTGACCTTTTAATTTCGCCTGCAGTAAACTATAACTTAAATTCGGACACGGACTCTACTGTAAAGTCCTCATAAAACATTTCCTTTACTTTCACTGTGAAAAACTGTCAATTTTCAAGATACATTTCGATTGATAACCTTTATAATTGTGTTTATAAAATGTAAAAATGTGACATTTGACAGTTTCCCCTGTTGTTTCATAGATGGCGCTCTATACAAATTTTTGATTTAAATCATTTTAAGATAATAATAAGTATTTGTCGTAGAAAAAGTATAGTATGCACCTCGTTTATAAACTTGTCTATACACTCATTAACTTAAGCACTCGCTCGCAAGCTCGCTCGTGCCTAAATTAAATTCGTGTATAAAGTGGCGTTTATCAAACTTGATACATAATATACTATTATCAAATTTATCGCTTCGTTTAAAGGTTATTAAGAATAATGAGGTAAAAATCACACAAGAATCATTTTATAGTGTTTGGTATCAATTTTCTCTTGTCACCAATGGAAAATCCACACCATAGAAGGCATCGGTGGCCCTTTGACGGATTACCACCCTCTGCAAAAAAAATTAGCGGAAGGACATGGAAGCCAGTGCGGATATTGCTCGGGAGGAATGGTGATGAACATGTTTGCTTTGATGAAGGAAAAAGGAAAACTTTCAGAGACCGAAATCGAGAATTCCTTCGGAGGTAATACTTGTAGATGCACCGGATACAGACCGATATTAGAGAGCTTTAAAAGTTTGGCTTTGACCGATATTGAAGATTTGGAAGTTTGTAAAAAAGATTGTGATAGCGAATGTAAAACGGTTTGCACGAAAAAACTAGTTTATAAAGATGGGAACTCTAGCTGGACAAAGTTATACAAAATCAAAGATTTGATGGAAATTTTGGGAAGTATTCAGGATAGTTACATGTTAGTTAGTGGAAATACATCCAAAGGTATTCAATATTAAAAATGTATGTATTTTACATTAAATTATTTTTTTATAGGGGTTTACAGGCCGATTTCCACACCAAAAAAGTACATTGACGTATCAAGCATAGCTGAATTATTAAACTGGACTTTAACAGACAACTCATTAAGTCTGGGAGCAAATGTATCCTTATCAGAAACCATGAACTTGTTTAAAAAAATATCGAGCCTAAAGGAACAATTTAAATATTTTTCTCATCTCGCTGAACATCTGGATTTGGTAGCTAACATACCAGTAAGAAATGTGAGTAAACATTCTATTATCTAACTTAGTTTACTTAATTTTTGCTGTCCATCCACTTTGTCTAATCGAGACAACGTCTAGAAACTTTTTAGTAGAAAGTAAAGAAAATCGCGTGAGATTAAGAAATAAAAAAAAATTTACTCATAAAATTTTCCTCGACTCTTGACAAAAGATTAGAATTTTTGCTAAAAAGCTGTTAAGCAAAAATTCAAATCTAGCTAGCTTACCTTTTGAGTTTCACCATTACTAAGAGCCAACTGAATGGCTTGTGCGGGTTTGGGGTGGGAACGAACCGCGGGCTTAAAGTCCCCTCCATAGGACTACACGAGGTGTGTTCAGAAAATAACGGGAATTGATAAATTTCGCGGGTTCGGAAGGTCCGGTTGTCATAAAATTTTCTTTATTATGTTTTTATACATGCCCCCGAAGTTTGATAAAAACTTTAGCTGTTTTCATTGTTTACTTTGTCTGTGGCAGCCGCTAAGGTTAGACGTGTTTTATGAGCTGGGCGATTTTTCGTTCGTTAAAAGAAATGGATCAAAGAGTTGTATCCAATTTTGCTTAAAAATGAAATAAATTCTGTGAAATGTTAACAGAGGCCTATAGTAAAACAAAAGTTTACAAGTGTTTACAAGTGGTATAAGAGTTTCCAAGATGGCCGTGAAGAAATTGAAGATGACGAACGCCCCGAACGCATAAGCACATTAACAACCGATAAAATCATGGAAAAAATGGAAGAAATGTTTATAAACCATCAGAGAAGTCGCTGATGATGTTGGTATATCGATTGGCTCATCCCATGAAATTTTTTCGAATGTTTTGGGTATGAAACGCGTGGCAGCAAAATTTGTTCTAAAATTGTTAAATTTTGAACAAAATTTTTGGCCAAAAACAATACTGTAAATATGCCCCCAGCCTCCATATTCGCCAGACATGCCTCTGTCTGACTTTTTCCTATTCCCAAAAATAAAGAGAACCTTAAAGGGCCGTCGTTTTGCAAGCATAGATGACATTAAAAGCGCATCCCTGAAAGAACTAAAGGCTATCCCCGAGTTTTTGAAGTGTTTCGAGTATTGGAAGAAGAGCTGGCACATGTGCATAATATCCAATGGGGACTATTTTGAAGGCGACAACATTAATGTAGACGAATAAATAAATATTTGTTTCAAAAAACGAAAATTCCCGATATTTTCTTAACACAGCTCATATAAGCAATAAGGAATAAACTATTTTCTAGTACTTTTGGAACAGAGGATATATTTATTCTTTGTAAAAGACTTTTACGCAACATATATGTTGCGTATACGCTTAAGAACATTTATTTAATCAGATAAACTCTATTTTAGATTGGAACTTTGGCTGGCAATCTGATGATAAAGCATGCCCATCCAGAATTTCAATCAGATATATTTTTGATATTGGAAACGGTCAATGCAAGTATTGTTATTGGTAAGTTATATAGAGGACGCCAATATGTAATTGTTGTGTAAAGAAAATGTATATTAAAAAAAATATATGAGATATACCTATGTTTTAAAAATGTCCCCCGTGGCTAATTCTATTTTCAATTTTTTTTGCAAAATCAATAATACTTTGACATGGCGACATTTGATCAACACCATTTTAAAGCATAACTAATCAAATGTATATTAAAACAATATTTTTTAGCTGATCCCTCTGGAACTGAAATTATCACTTCTCCAGCTTTATTTCTAAAAACCAATATGAGCAAAAAAGTAATCAAAAATATTATACTACCAGGATATGATAGTTCATATGTATATAAAAGCTACAAAGTATAAATAACACATAAACCATATTTAAATATTACACTTCTAATATTAACTTTTAGATAATGCAAAGGGCTCAAAACACTCCAGCAGTGGTAAACGCAGGCTTTCTCTTGAAAATTAACAGTGGTGTGGTAAAAAGTGCCCGAATCGTATATGGAGGAATAAACCCTAATTTCATACATGCCACAAAAACGGAAGAATTGTTGATCAATAAAAATTTGTTTGACAATGAAACGCTAAAACAAGCGCTTCATTCGTTGAGTGCTGAAATCAATCCCGATCATGTTTTACCTGATGCCGATCCGAAGTATAGAAAGGAATTGGCCATTGCTTTGTTTTATAAGGTTTAAAAATTATTAATTAAATATTGGAGTTACTTAAAATATGATTGTTTCAGTTTGTATTAAATATTGCTCCCGCTAAATCTGTATCAGATAAGTACAAATCTGGAGGTAAATTATTGGAAAGGCCGGTGTCCTCAGGATCCCAGGAATTTACTCAGGACAAAAATATATATCCTGTGTCAGAAAATGTTGGTAAAATAGAAGCTTTAGCACAAACTTCAGGTAATTTTTGTTGAGAAATAAATAATTTGGTTTTATTGGACATTTTGGAGAATGTATTCTTGATTTAAAAATCGCTGAACCTCCCACACGGAGAGAAAAGTATAATGCTGATTACCATAATTATAATACCCTTTACTATAATTTATATTACTATTTCGGACAACTATCTTGTATATTGCCAGATACTATGCATATTTAGTAATTTTTAAATATCCATGTATGTTAAACCTTAAGGTAAAATATTATTATTCTCAACCAATTTTGTTTTTAATTCTTATTATAATTAGATTTTTTCCATTACTAATAAGTATAGTAAATTTTAATATATTATGTTGCCATTTTAAATATAAAATATCTTAAATGCGAATATTGTTATATGTTACAACATATTTATTGTACTTTTTAATATACAAAAATGTTATGAGAAAGAATTGAACCTACACCTCGCCAAAGTTTTTTGTTTTGAGTGCGTTCCATCAACTTCAAATACCGACAGACAGGTGTTTTGATCTATAATATTATTATTATGGGTATCATCTGTGTCGATACGACACTGTCGAGCAACTTGTAGTAGTGGAACACACCCAAAACAAAGAAATACCTGAGCTTATATAACATGGTTGGTAAGCCAACAGAGGCGAGATGTAAGAACATCACGTGATCCACACCGTCTAACGACGCGTCGCGATGTGGTCTTGCCGCAATCGGTACACACTATGCAACCAAGTAGGTTTAATTCTTTCTTATTATTACCAGTAATGGGTCAAGAAAGTTTATTGAAGAAACTGAGAAAATTGAATGTTTAAAATGCCATGAGTTACTATAATGTATATTATATTTAAATATATTGTTTATTTACCTTAAACATAAAAGTATCTTTATTTTTACTATATTTTTTATTAATGTGTAATATATTATAATATTAGATGTACACCTTACATTTGATTAAATCATATAGTAAATATTACTATTTGTAGATAGTAAAATCAATTTACTATACGAAGATATTAAAAATTGTGTTGTAATCTTTACTAAAACTGTATAATAAAAAATAGTATTTTGTATTACAATCTTAATATTGTATTGACGAATATATAATATTGTTACCCTAAAAATTTGTTAAAGTAAATTTTACTATATTTTTTTACTATCTAAAATTTACTATATTTACTACGATAGCTGACAACAGGTAAATATCCGATATGGCTACAAATTGTAATTTTAGGGCAAGCTGATTACATAGAAGATATACCAGATCTTCCCGGTCAACTATTTGGTTCCTTCGCTGTGGTAAAAGCCCCTGCAGGCTCAGTTATCACCAAAATAGACTCATCAAAAGCTTTAGTAGGTATTTCTAAAACCCCAATCAATCGTTTTACTCACAACATATTTTTATAGAAACTCGCTGGGGTTGTCAAATTTTTGGGCAAAGACGATATTCCGGGCAAAAATATTTGGTCGCCTACGAACACCTTGATATTTTTTGCGGACGAATACCTATTTTGCGAAGGTACCGTTTTGTACTTCGACCAACCTGTTGGGATTGTGGTGGCCAACAGCCAAGAGTTGGCCGACCAGGCCGCAGAATTGATAGAAGTTACATGCACTCCTCCCAAATCGAAACCCTTGTTAGACATCAGGGATGTTTTGAAAGCTCCCGAAGACGAAAAGAAGAAAAGGGTCTCCCATCAGACCGACTTTGTAAGGAAAACATCTGGGAATGATGTTAGAAAGGTGGTCAAGGGGGATTTTTACATCGGTAGTCAGTATCATTTCCACATGGAGACGCAAGTGTGCAATGTGGTTCCTGTATGCGATGGTTTGGATGTCTATGCTTCCACTCAGTGGATGGACTGCAACCAAATTGCCATTGCTACCGTTTTGAATCTTAAAAATACACAGTAAGTATAGTATGATTGATTTTCAAGAAAATGAACTTGAAAAGGGTGTTTTTGCAAAGTGCAATTTTGTTGGATTTTTCTTCTGCAATAATTGTTCTATAAAATACTTGTTGGTTGTTTAAATGAGTCTACACAAGTAAGTAGCCTATCTGCTGGAATTTCGGCACAAGCATCCCAGACAGCATCCAATTCAGAAAGATTTCTGTACGAAGTCTGTTGAAAAACATCTTACTGAGGTCACAATATGACATCTTAGAGAAATCATTTTTAGGAGCTCAAGATGAAGAGTTCTTGATGAATTCATAAATGAGAAGTCAATTTTTTAACATCTTAAAGTATCTTTTTTTCTGACCTCTTATTGGAATCAAAATTAGAAGCTAATAAGGGTTTCATAAATAAGACTTCAGTTATATGATATCTTACAGTATTCTCTTTTCTTACTTCTTAATGAAATCATACATACTGCTCCATACCAAACGGCATATGTAAACGGCTACCCTATACTGACGAGCTCCAAAAGAGCGAAACAGGCCGTCTATCGGTGCCGGTGAAAAGCACGCTTAAATTTAAACAAAAGTAAGACGAAGTAATCGCAATTCCTAAAATAAGCGAATATGAGCAAATTATTAAAATGATTTTAATAAAATCAATTTTACAAATTAATAAAATAAACTTGACATGTCAAAATAAGCAACGATCCAGTACCTATGTAATTTTTTCATCAGTACCCTGTAGTACTTCTATATCCAAAACGGGAAATTCTAAAGAAGTCTTTTTATAAGTTTATACAGTAGGACTCTTTAAAATGCTTAATTGCGAAGTCAAAGAAAAGGGTTCCTCAAGAGTTATTTTTTGAGAAGTCTTGATTAGTTCAATAGGTGGCGCATTCGAAGTCTTACGAACTTCTTAAAAACTTCTTTCTGATGTTGTATTTGACGTCCAAATCATAAAATAGAGCTTATGCAGACTTAATTAAGACGTCATATTGCTGTCTGGGATTTCTAATTCACTCAATCATATTTCCCACTGGTTGTTGGTACTTGTTGAAACAAACGGTCTTTGAGATAGCCCCACAAAAAGAAATCCGGCGAAAGTAAGTTAGATCAGGTTATATAGCAGGCCAACTAGCCGGACCAGCTCTACCAATCCAGCGACCATTAAAATTGCGATCAAGTACTCAAGTCCTAACACCGAATAGTGTGCTGGGCAATCATCATGTTAAAATCACGTGTTCTGTCGTTCTTCCAATCTTAAGTCTTCAAGTAATGTGGGAAGTTTATTTTTCAAAATATCTTGGTACATTTCGCCATTTAAGTTTAAGTTAAAAGACTTCTCTGTATACAGTATGTCCTGAATTGAGTTACAAAAGGCTTGGTCAGTGCTTAAACACAATTCCGCGCGCCTTTATTGCATCAGCAAAACTACAAAATCTACTAGTTAACTAAAATTTCAGAGTCAACTTAAAGGTGAAACGCCTGGGCGGCGCGTTTGGCGCAAAAATAATGCGCAACGCTCCCGTGTCGTGCGCAACCGCGTTGGCAGCTCACTTGCTTAGGAAACCGGTAAAAATGCGCATGTCCTTCGAGAAAAACATGCGAATACTTGGCAAACGTTTCCCGTGCTACGTGGACTACGAAGCCGGCGTAAACAGTACCGGAATTATTCAGTACCTAAACGCAAACATTTACTCTGATTTTGGCGTAGGTGCAAACGAACCTATAGATCTCCTTATAGTTGACATGTTCCAAAATGGATACATTTGCGATACCTGGCAGTTTTCCACTTATGTCGTAACCACCGATAAGCCCCCGAATTGTTACACCAGAGCACCCGGCACTAAGGAAGGGTTGTGTGCCATTGAATCCATCATGGAGCACATTGCTTCGTCCATTGGGGTGGATGCGTACGAGATGAAAATGGCAAACACAGACAAAACCAAGCATTCCATGCTTGTTGATTTTACTAAGGAAATGATGGCATGGGGTGATATTGCGAAAAGAAAGCAAGACATTCAAAAGTTTAATGAGGTATGTTCTACTTGAAAAATGACAACTTTGGTAATAAGTATGTCAAACAAATATTAGAAATAAGAAAAGTTATGAAAGTTTATACATCTGTAAGACTACAAATAAATCTTTAAATAGCAATAACGGACCGGTACTCAACTAGTTTGTACAAATTAGTTTGTTAGTTTCTCTTTACGTGTTCACTGAAGCGGTTACGGTCCACGGTTCAGTTAACGAAAAGGCGAAGGCAAAAGTACTTTAAGAACTTTTGTTTTGGTGTTGGGGAATATTTCTAATATTTGTTTAGGTATATACCTAAACAAATATTAGAAATATGTTCTACATTAAGTACAATATCATGTGAATTATTTAGGCTAACCGATGGACAAAAAGGGGTATTTCCCTAACACCAATGGCGTATATATTGGAGGTAGCCGCAAATTATGTTTCTTTGGTATCAATTTTCCATGGAGACGGTAGTGTGGCCATTGCCCATGGTGGCGTGGAAATGGGTCAGGGTATCAATACCAAGGTAGGATGTAAAATAAACATTTTATTACTGTGGGTAGATGTAGCGAGTTTTTGTAGGTCGCCCAAGTAGCAGCTTACAAGCTAGGAATACCCATGGAACTTATTCAGGTCAAAGCTTCGAATTCCATGTGTAATCCAAATAATACGGCAACAGGTGGAAGTTTGACTAGCGAAGCTGTGAGTTATGTAAGTATATGAATGAAATAATGGGATTTAAACTACTCGGCTGACATTTGTATTTTTTTTTTTAATTGCGAAAGAGTACCTTCTTCTTCTTCTTCTTCTTCTCGTAACGCTAAAAATTGTCAAAATTGAGCCTTCCCTTGTAAATTTGACGAATTATATAATTCTATATAGAATCTTTGTTTTATACTTTTTTGTATGCAATACTTTTACTAAAAATTGAACAATATAAGTAATGTCATTTACTTTAGGTATAGGACATGGTATAGTAATTTTACTCAGAATTTTATTCAGAATTTAATAATGTAAAAATATATGGGATGTCCTATTTAAAATAATAAAGTTGATATCACTTTCGGTTAAACCGTATTTTTAAAATATTTTAGAAATATAGACTTAAATGGATTATAAACGCTTTTAAAATTTTAAATCTACATCTTTTTTCGTTCCCCAGAAACTTATAATTAATGGACCACAAATGTGGAACACCCTGTATATTCTTTTTAAAATTTGAGTATGAAGGTTTACTTCTTTTAATATATGTACTACACTACTTATACCATATTATTTTTAGGCTGTGACAAAAGCTTGCGATATTTTGTTGGAGAGAATGGCACCAATTAAAAAGAAAATGACCAATCCCAAATGGTTAGATGTGGTAAAAAGTTGTTTTGAAAACTCCGTTAATTTATCTGCAAATTCTTTGTAAGTATACTTTTTATTTATTAATAAAACGCTAAAGAATTCTTAAGTATCGCTAGTAGAGCCACCACCGGCTGTTATCATCGTAACAAAAGTACAACTTTTAATAATCAGCTGTCAAACGCTTACCTATGTTACAAACGAGTATTTTTGAGAATAAAGCCGGAAAATGTTAAAAAATATCGAAAAAAAAAACCATGGCACGATTTGTTGTGTTGTTGGGTGTATTTCGAGAGGAAATTCTGGGTTGAGTTTTTATCGGTTTTCCAATAAACAGTGTTAATCCGAATGAAGAAATAAATTTCATACAGTCCCTGTAAATATAATTTGCATCTAGATACAATAAATACACATTTTAGTAATGATTAACGTAAAAAGTGTAAACATTTCAATTCAGTAAAAATCTTCAAACAAGTCGTCTAAATTTAAACAGCATTTAGCATTATTAAAAGCGTTGATTAAGAAAGTCTCCACTCAACGGTAAAATACCATTATATTACTTATGTATTATAATTATATATATATTATAATATTACGTTGCCATGAATCGGTATATTTTGTTGTTTAAAATGCAATTGTCGGCGTTTTTTAGAAAATGTTTGATTTTAAGGTTATGTTTGTACAAAAATTAGTTTTTACAAATTTCTTAACCTTTCAGTAGTCGCGCTATTTTTTTTATAGTATAGTCGCCCCGGTCTGTAACACTGGGTTGATTTTTTATAGGTTTTGCGATTTTTTTTATAAATATTTACTATCAGTGAAGTTTTATGGGTAAAAAGGTACATATAGGTACAAAAAAGTGATCAGAAAAAATATATATTTTAGAAAATACAGGCAAAAAACAAAAATAAAATTCATATAAAAAAGATCTTTAAACTTTTAACATACAAATAAAATTGCAACTTAAAAAAGTTAAAATAAAAAAAAATATTATTTTTTGGTCCTTATTTAATACGGTAGTGAAAGAAAAATTAAAAAATTAAGCTTCGAAAGGACTTTGCTTGCAAGATTGGCAAATGCCTATTATGTGCTCTAATTTATTTTTGTTTTTTGCCTATATTTTCTAAAATATATTTTTTTTCTTATCACTTTTTTGTACCTATATGTACCTTTTTACCCATAAAACTTCACTGATAGTAAATATTTATAAAAAAAAAATCGCAAAACCTATAAAAAAAACATGTAGGTATTACGTTTAAAACACACAAATCCAGTTTTTCTATATTTTATCCAATTGGAATAGGCACATCTACCAGGGGTAATATTTTCTTGAGATTTTTGAAGTACAATTCCACAAATTTCTTGAAGTGAAAAATTCAAACTTTGTGGAATTTCGGTCAAAGCAGCACGAGTTATTTGTAACACGAATGGTCACCCCGGTCTCACACACCGGAAGTCACTATAATTCGCAATAAATATGTTCAATCGCATCCAAATTGCAACTGAGCATGCATGTACACTATTTAGGAAGGTACCTGTTCGGTGAAGTTTTTATCTCCACCATCTTCAAAGTTTAGTTTAATTTTAAATCGCCCCGGTGTCAGACACCGTGCGCGACCACAGACTTAGGTAAATATAAATTATATTAGGTAAAGTTATCATTAGTTAATTCTGCACCAACAAATGTACTTACCGAATTGGATCCTTTGGCAAAACATGAAAATGCAACGATTTAGTTCTTGAATTTTATTTACAATTAAAAACACAATAATTCACCATGATGACTTTGATAAAATACACACACTAACGTAACTACCTATATAAGCATTTCAGCGTTGAGTTTCTTAATCAATGATATAAAGAAATCAAATACTAAACCATGGTTTTTTAGTTTTTTCCTTGCAACGTAAAACACAAATAACGTGCGCGATTTAGCTGTGCAATTGAACAAAATTTGTCTGCCTTCCTCTCTATAGAGTACATCATTTTTAAATAAATATATTTATTTAAAAATGATGTACAGTACAAACATCTACCTGGTTTGTATTTTTTATTGGTATCTACATACCTACCTATTTAAAACACTCTATATATCACCCACAATATCATTCACATTTAAACTGATGCAAGTACATGATACAAACAATAAGTATATAATTAAACTCACAGAACATAACTGTCAAACGTAAACAAACGAAATCTGTCAGCCGATAAGTTGGCCATGATTTATAAAGTCAGGGGCGGAGGTATATTTTTTATTAGAAAATATTTAATATAAAATATAATATTGCTAATAGACTAATATTAGATAGTTTTGTACCTTGGATAATAATATTATTATTTTTAAGCTACTCTCCATTGGAGCCCTCCATTAAGCAATACCTTATCTACGGACTCGCGGCAGCAGAAGTCGAAGTGGATATTTTGACTGGGAAAAACGAAATTCTTCAGGTGGACATACTGGAGGATGTTGGCCAAAGCATGAATCCATTGATAGACGTCGGACAACTGGAAGGTGCTCTTGTTATGGGCATCGGTTATTATTTAACTGAGCAAATAATTTACAACGAAAACGGCCAAATTTTAACTGACAGAACTTGGACTTATAAAGTGCCCGGCCCTAAAGACATTCCTGTTAAGTTCAGGGTTAAGTTCCCTCCCAATGTTAAGCATGATTATGGAGTGTTACAATCAAAAGGTAATAAGATATTTTTTCTACTCCCACCATTAAAACGCCCTTTATCGTACATGTTTCCATGACACTAAGTGACCTTTTAAATACACATTGACAAGTTGTGGCTTTACGGCGCTTAAGTCACGGGCTGAAGTTAGCAACAGGTTTTTAGTCACGGGCTGAAGTTAGTTGACAGTTGTCAAATGTCATACAATCGTTAAAATAAAGTGCCTTTCTTGTAAAATAATACTAAATGTGAAAATTATTTTATTATATCAATACAAAAATATTAAATAGTTTCTCAACGCCAATATTTGAAATGTTTATATGAACATTGTACTGACCTTCTAATTTCGCCGGCAGTAAACTATAACTTAAATTCGGGCACGGACTCTACTGTAAAGTCCTAATAAAACATTTCCTTTACTTTCACTGTGGAAAACTGTAAATTTTCAAGATACATTTCGATTTATAACCTTTATAATTGTGTTTATAAAATGTAAAAATGTGACATTTGACAGTTTCCCCTGTTGTTTCATAGATGGCGCTCTATACAATTTTTTGATTTAAATAATTTTAAGATACCTACCTAATAAAAGTATTTGTCGTAAAAAAGTATAGCATGCACCTCGTTTATAAACTTTTCTATACACTCATTAACTTAAGCACTCGCTTGCAAGCTCGCTCGTGCCTATATTAAATTCGTGTATAAAATGGCGTTTATCAAACTTGATACATAATATACTAATTTATAATTTTTTTTAGCTATTGCAGAACCACCATCTTGCTTGTCAGCTGCAATCCCACTGGCTATTAGAAATGCAGTAGCTTCAGCTAGAAAAAACGCAGATCCTACTAAACCATTGTGGTATCCCTTTGGTATTTACTTTTTTATGTGATTTATTTTACAATAAACTAATTTATATTTTTCAGATGGCTGCTCATCAATTGAAAATACATTCCTTAATAGTTTAAACGATTTTACACAATATAAACTAAATTAATATAATGTTATAACTACATAGTTTTATAATAAAAATTCTTATGAAACATCAAGTTCTTTTATTCACAATACAATACATTACAACAAATATTACATTACATATTGCATTTTCTTTTGAGTAAATAATATTTATCTAAAAAAAGGTTTCATTTAAAATTTATACAATAAATGGAATGACAACTAAGTAACCACATAAATCTATTTAAGTAATAACAAGTACGTTTTACATGAAATACTGATTTTCAGTTATTAATTACGATAATTCTTGTGCATCTCTGGTTTGATGTCGTAGACAAGTGCAAGAACTTCAGTAATTACCTATAAAAAATAATAAACCATATAATATACATAATAAAATTTACAACTACTATATGTACTTACAGGGGCTTTTTGACTGATGATAGCTTTGTTCATGTCTTCAATACGTTGTTTGGTGTCGGTTTCAATTTTCGAGGCAACATCCTCCCTGGAACCCATGTGTTTGGCCTCAAATTCGCGAAATTGACGTTCACGATCTTTACGGTACTTTTCAATCTCATCTTGAGCTTCTTCTTTGGCCTGCTTCAACCTTCTTGCTTTACCTAAGTACAAACAATATATTAATAAATAAAAATAAATATAATCCGCTGTTTACGTTGCTATTATTAAGAAATAAACGAAGAAATGCTGTTGTTTTGAGTTATTTTCACTTGTTTTATGTAAAATCAACATGACAGTAGAGAACTCGTGATTGAAATCGCTACACCCAAAAAACAAAAAACGATCGATTTATTATTTAAAATGTTCTTACGTTTGCGGGCTTCTGATACTTTTTCGGCCGCTCTCTTTTCAGCAGCCAGCAATTGCTGGATTCCCTGGGTCTGGCTGGCCATGGCGAAAAAATTCCAAAATCAAACTCAATTCAACGACAAACACACCAGACTAAAAAATTATAAATCGGTCATATGATTGACGTTGTCCTTGTTTTCGTTTTCACGCAGATGGCGCTGACACACTGCGTAAGATTTAGAGGTGGGAACATTCGTTTTTATAAACAAATATATCAATTGAATGTTGATTATGTTCTTTGTAAATGTTAATTAAATACTCTAAATTTGCTAATTTATGTTTAGGCTTTAACATATTTTAAAGAGTATATTAATATACCGCCAGGTACTAGGCAACCCATATTACATTTGACAAAAACTATTTGAATTGCAGACAAAAAATTGTATTAATAAAAATATGTTATTTTTTGTTTCCGCAGACGGTGTTTCTTCTTAGTGATTTCATTTTATTTAAGTATAATATCAGTGTGTGTCATCATGTCTGAAAGAAAGCATGGATGTAAATGTAGAGGTATTGAAAATAGGCCATCCAGCCAAACTAGAAAAAATAATGTTGCTAAATGTGTTCCCTCATTGGAGTCCAATAGATTGGCTTTGCAAGATTTGGATTTAAATCGTTTGGTAAGTACCTGGGTAAATATTTTTATAAAAAAAACGGGCTACCATGACATTGTTTTAATTTTAAATTACTTTTAGGTACCTACTTAAAAGTAGTAGATATGTTATAGTAGATATGTTTAATAACATTAAATTTGGCCTTAAATATAGCTCGTATTTAATACCCTATAATTTAAAAAACAACAACGTTGGGTATTAATACCATTAAATATGTTTATTTTAAAAATATTAAAAAAGTCCCACTTATAACACAGTACGACAAAATTTATTTTTTTCCTCCCATGGATTTCAGATCATGTCATTTTTTTTAAGTTAAAATTATTTTAATTATATACAGGGTGTTGCACATTTACGAAATACGGGTGTTTCACAATCGTGGTCCATTGAAATTTTCTGAGGAACGGCATAAGATATCGATTTGAAATTTTTAAAGCGTTTATAATCCAATTAAGCCTATTTTTCTAAAATATTTTAAACAAAATGTCACTTACGGTTTCCCGGAAGTGACATCATCTTTGTTATTTTAAATAGAACACCCCATATAGGTATTTTTAAATTCTACATAAAATTCTATGTAAAATTACTGTACCATGTCCTATACCTAAAGTGAATGGTTTTCGAGTTATTATTTTTTTTAGTTAAAATTTGACAAATGCCCGTCAATCAAAATGGGCGCGGGAATTTTGTAATCTTAAAACATTGTTTAAAAGATTCCATGTCATTTTTTAACAAATTACCCAGGGCAAATTAGGCTAACTTGAAACGTTATTAACTTTTTTATTTTAAATGAAACACCCTATATGTTTTAACGTAATCAAATAAAAAATTAAAAAACATTTCGATTAATGTAATTATTCCCTATAAATAAATTTAATAATTTAAGAGATATTCTATGTGAAATACCAAAGTTTATGTCACTTCCGGCCAAACCGGAAGAAAATCGTGTTGAACTGTGTAATAGGTGTACCTATTTTTTAATATCTTTTTCTACTATTTTCTACTAAAAATGTTCATTGGGATGGTTACTTTTTTTCGTATAGATGTCGCTTTATACAAATATTTAATTTAACTCATTTTTAGATAATTTTAAGTAGGTATTTGTCGTTTTAAAAGTATAGTATGCAACTTTCTAGGCGTTTATCAAACTGTTGATACCTAATATAGGTACTATTAAAGTAACTGTGTCTTTTAAAAATTACTATTTTATAGTACATAAATCAAATCCAAATTAAAATATATTATATATATTAAAAGTTAAATTGGTAGATATTTTTTAATTTAGATTTAATTTACTATAAAAGGGTAATTTTTAATATACAGTTACTTTATTATGATATAAGATATATAGACGGTCTGAACAAGTTTTATTTTAAAGTAGATAAGTACTTACCTTTTTTTACCTATATGTACTTTTTTGCACCTAAATTTCCTAATTAACTAATAAGGGACTTTTTTTTACCAAAATTTTAAGGGTAAAAGAATGAAAAAACGTAGAAAAAAATTTTTTCTTCTGATTTAAATTGTGAAAACAGAAAAACAATTAAACGTCGTGTTTCCAAAATCCAATATAAATAGGACACCCTATACAGTGTGTTTCACATTCGTGGTCCATTAGAAGTTTCTATTTTTGATTGACGCGCATTTGTCAAATTTTAACGAAAAAAATTAATAGCTTGAAAACTATTCACTCTAGGTATAGGACATGGGATAGTAATTTTATTCAGAATTTTAGGTAGAATTTAAAAATGAAAAAGTATAGGTATATGGTGTTTTATTTAAAATAACGAAGTTGATGTCACTTCCGGTTAAACCGGAAGTGGAATGTTGTTTAAAATATTTTAGAATTATAGACCTAAATGGATTATAAACGTTGTAAAATTTCAAATCGATATCTTTTTTCATTCCCAAGAGACTTCTACTGGACCACGAATGTGAAACACCCTGTATATTTATACATTTAATTTGAAACAAAAAAAAAATTAATTTTGCCTAATTACCCTAAACCTAAAAATAAACAATAATAATATTTTAAAAACGATTTTATAAAGGCTAACTAAATTAAAAATACAATATAATCGAACAATTAAATTAAATTGGAAAAAAAATAAAAATTTTGGTTATCTACTTGAAATGGGGAAAATGACAACAACAAAATTATTTCAAACGTTTTACTCAGGTGGTTTAAAATAGAAATCCATTTCATTTTGCACATTTTTCCACTTTTTTATACTCTTTTTTTATACTCTTTTTATACTCTTTTTTATACTCTTTTTGTATACTCTTTTTTATAAGTGTGGTTTAAAATGGAAATCCATTTCATTTTGCACATTTTTCCACTTTTTTTATACACTTTTCTTATAAACTTTTTTATACTCTTTTTTATATTTTGTACATTTTCCACTTTTTTTATACTCTTTTTTTATACACTTTTTATGCTCTTTTTTATACTCTTTTTGTTTACTCTTTTTGTATACTCTTTTTTATACTCTTTTTTACAAGTGTGGTTTAAAATAGAAATCCATTTCATTTTGCACATTTTTCCACTTTTTTTATACACTTTTTTTATACTCTTTTTATACTCTTTTTTATACTCTTTTTTATACTCTTTTTAATACTCTTTTGTGTACCCTTTTTTTATACTCTTTTGTATACTCTTTTTATACTTTTTTATAGTCTTTTTATAGTCTTTTTTATACTCTTTATACTCTTTTTTATACTCTTTTTTTATACTCTTTTTTATACTTACCTACTCTTTTTTATACTCTTTTTGTATACTCTTTTTTATACTCTTTTTATACTCTTTTTTATACTCTTTTTTATACTATTTTTTTATACTTTTGAGCGCATTTTCATACTCGTTCTGTTAATTTTAGGCTCAACCAACTAGTTCAAAGTTAAAGTCAACTTCGACTAATACTATTACCGTTTCAACCTCTTGTCGTTGTGTCCAGAGACGCCAAAATAACCCTAAAACAGTCTTAACTGCTTGTGGTTGTGCCCAGAGACGCAAAAAATGTTGCGTACAGAGAACTCAGACAAATAATCCTCCTAAAACACAGACAAATTGTGTGCATGAATCGGAGCCAACTTCATCAACCAAGTTACGAGGTAAAACTGCAGCCACTCAATCTACATCCAGTTTAAATAAACCGAAATGTTTAACTTGCTTAAATAAGAAGAGTACCAGTACAGTTACAAGTAGCGGAACAGATAAAGGAACTTCGGCACGCTCCAAGCAATCCTCAACAAGTAGTACTAATAAAGGAACTTCAAGTACATCTTCCAAAACAGGTTCTTCTTTAAAAATAACAGGACCAATTCAATATTTAACAGCAATTCCTTTGAGTCAAGCTAGTGATAAAATAAAAGAATCAATAGCATCGAGTTCTCATCGTATTTATTGTATAAAAGCTGTTCCTTCAAAAAAAATTACCAGTGCCGTTGATGAAGCAGGAGCTTCTAATAAAATGTGTGCACCTACAAAAAAAGTTTCATTAAAACATAGCAAAATTCCAACGCACGCACCTAAAAAACCCAATAAGGAATTATTTTGTTCAAATATGGAAAAAACAGGTAATAACAATCTAGCAAAACATTCTATGAAAAAAGATTGCCCAGAAATTCAAAAAAGTACTGGAGCTTCCTTAAATGATTATGGTACTAATAAATTCGTCAGCATGGCTTCTTCAAGTACAGCTGGGTCTGCTACACAATCACTACCAAGAATAAATGTTAATGCTGCGAATGAATACCAATTTCCAACCATTACCAATGATCCTCAAAGGGATATGTCCAAATCAAATAAGTCGGTTGATGAGGATTATTTTAGTATGGAAGATAACCAAAGTAGTGATTCAGCTTTAATTCATTTAAAAACAAAAATGAACTTGGAATCAAGCGAACAAGATTCCGGGATTAGTAATCAACATTTTCTCCCCAACTTTGAATCTACAAGAAGAGTGATGCCTTCTGAGTTAAGTCCATCATTAATAAATAATGAGATGATAGTTGCCGAACCTAAAAATGTATTTATGTCCACCGGTACAAGGTTAGTATATGCCATTATTAACATAATATCTTCTTTCTACTCCTATCTTTAAAACTTAAAGTATCTAAGATACTTTATCTTAGATGCTTTTTATATTGGACAGAAAGTATATTTAACCAAGTTACTTTGGAAAATTATCTTGTATCTAATAAAGTATCTAAGTTACTCGGTAAAGTACCTAAGATACATTCAAGTAACTTAGATACTTTAAAGTAACTAAGATACTTTTCAGTGTAACTTAGATAGTTTCTTAGAGAAAATTGGGGGAATTCCAGAATGATTCAAAGTAATTACCTAACCTACAACTTGATAAATTTTCATAATTTTATAGTTTTTATTCATACTTAAAAGTAACTTAGTTACTCAAAAGTATCTTAGTTACTTTAATATAGTATCTTAGATACTTTTTAAAGTATCTTGTAACTAAAGATTATGTGTAACTCAAAATATCTAGTTACCAGAGGTAACTAAGTTATTTTGTTTAAAGTATCTTAGACAAGTAACTAGATTCTTTTCAGAAGTAACTTTCCCAGCTCTGTAAGTAACCTTTTGATTTCGCCGTCAGTAAATTAGATTTTACTTAATTTCGGGTGGAGACTGCACCGTAAAATGCCCATAAAACTGCTTCTGTATCGTATTTAACCGGTGGTTAGTCCATTTTCAAGGGATGCATTTCGATTTACACATAAAATATATTCTTTAGTTTTGGGGAAATTAATTTAAAAATATATATATATATATATATATATATATATATATATATATATATATATATATACTTCAACACCTTGTATTTCTGGAAGTGTTGAGTTTTAAAGAAATTAATATTTTAACGTTTTTATTAATTTTTAATTTATTAAAGGTTCCTTTTGTATTATTAATAACAATAATAATAATAATAATAATAATAATAATAAGTTTATTTAAAAAACAACTAAGGTTGTACAGAAAAATTCCTTACCAATATTATTAAAAGGATATTATTTACCTATAATATGCATATGCATATAACCTTATAGGTAAATAAAATAAGTTCTAATTAAATAAGAATCAGCTAAGATATACAATGAAAATTTCCTATGAAACACTAGTTACCTGATCCACACTAAAAATCATCATTCAAGAATTCATGATATGAGTAATACGATTTGGTAATAAGAAGTTGTTTTTAATGAAGATTTGAAATTTCTTAAATTTTGAGATCTAATTGTAAAATTTTGGGCACAAATACAGAACACTCTTTTGGAATAGGCTGGTGTTCGAGTTAAAAAAACTAAAATCACTTTCATTATAAAGAAAAACTATACATTCAAAAATAAACAAGGAGAGAAACTCAAAAAGTTATTTAAATTGAAAAATTCTTATATTTTATTTTTAGCGCGTCAAGTTCTTTATTTGGTAAATATGGAGAGGAAGTGAGTAAAGTAACCGAGTCAAATATTCAAAAAGAAAAATCATTTTCATTTTTGATGAACAGTGAAATTTTTTTAACTGGTAAACGTTTCAATAAATCTTTTGGGCATCTAAGAAATATTTGATTTGCAGATTTACAAAAACATAAAATTCTCGCAGAAGATGAAGCTGCCGTTTTCAAAACAAGAAAACCGATAACGATTTACAACGATCCAAAAATAATTCTCGATCGAAATGAGCAGTACATGAGGGAACATTTATTTACTCGCGGTAAGCTTGATGACATGGATAGCGAGCTAAAGAGAATTTTTGCAGAATACAAGGAAATGTTAAAAGTCATAATGAATCTTGACAGCGTTATCAAAAGACCAGCTGAAAAAAAGAAATTAATTAAGAAGCTGCGGAGGAGAGGTTCCAACGACGTCTTACGAAATGGTGATTTAATTTTGTTTTTTTTGTAGTAAAATCAACATTTTTTTAAAATGGTCTCACCAGAGTAATCTATATGTTTATTATTATTATTATCATTATCAGTATCACTATCACAATCACTATCACTATCACTATCACTAACACTATCACTATCACCATCAATTTAATTATCACTATCACTATCGCGATCGCTATCGCTCTCACTATCACTATACTATCATCATCATTATCATTATTATTAATATTCATTACATTGCTTTTAGATAAAATCAAATCATACATCGATGACCTTTATACTTTAGAATATTTAGATGATATAATTACCTATGAGTTTACTCAAGAAACGAAATATTTACTAACAAAGAGCACAATAGAAAGCAATAAAGATGGCTCTTTAAGGATAGTAGTCGTTGATTGGCTTATTAAGCTGCTGGATCACTTAGAAATTAACCAATCAGTTTACTTGGCTGCCATCAGGATTTTTGATAAAATTAAATTACATTTTAAAAAGATGGAATATCAGTTGGTCATCATAACATCTCTATGGATTGCTTTTAAATATAATAATAATTCCGATGTTATTACAGTAAGATTTTTTTATTTTTAGGTTTGGATTTACTACATACATACGTTTTAGGTACACAAGCTTTTTTCACTATGCAAAGGTAAATTCAGTACCAACCAGATAAAAGAAATGGAACTAACAATGCTCAAGTTATTGGATTTTGATTTAAATATTAGCAATCCGCTGGATTTTCTTTATTTTTATCTAAAAAAGGAGAATTTAGAAAATGACAAAGTAAGTATTAGTACTTTACATTAGCTAGGATGAAAGGTCATGTAAAGGTCAAAGGTCATGGCTTAATAATTACCTGCGACTTCGTTCGCGTGGAATCATTAATTTACATTAGCTAAAATGAAGAGATCAAAGATCAAAGGTCAAAAAGTAGTAGTAGTAGCATTCAATTAAAAACTTGACTACTATTGTAAACATTTTGATTTTTTTTGTATTTTAGAAAATAGAATGTGCATCAAATTTCATAATCGAATTCTCAACTCTATTTCCTCAGTATCCAAGCATTCTGCCCTCATTGGTGGCAGATGCAGCTTTGGTTCTTGCCAAGAGTTTTTTAAACTGCGACGTCAGAAGGGATTCGCATTTTCAGTACAACAATCCAATACAGGTTAATTTTTATGCAAACCTATTTTTGCAGCAATTAAAATGGTTGATGCAGCCGGAATGTCCGTATAAGGAAATATTCGATAGATATAGTGGTAAAGGTTGTTGCAATATTAGCCAAATATTTTTAGCCAGATCTTTGGAAGTTGCTAACATTGATTCTTTTTAATTTTGTGTTGAAATTGTTTTTAAATTATTTGTGTTTTTATATATTTTTTAATATTTTATAAATTAAACTACCCATGTGATAAAAACAATATATATTTTAAGAAATGCTTATGAATACTATAAAAATAAACCATAAATAAATCACACTTTTTTATGTTTCTCACCATTTTATAGTATAAGCAAGTTTTTTCAAACTTATCACGGTTCCAAAAACCTTATCCCAAAGCATGCTACTGATTCCAAATCCTACAATAAAAAGATTTCATCAAAAATTTAATTCCTGATTTTGCTTGATTTGCTTGATTTCAAACCCCCCAGAAAATGCAACAAAATTAAACTAGTAAAATGGTTTAATATTGACTCATTATATAATTAAAAGGTTAGTATGGTCAACACTTAATTTTGTTATTACCAATATCTGAATGCACAAAGTGATGTTGGTTGTGGTATCGTTTCATGAAATAAAAATAGCTATTTTCACTTGGGGACCCATAGTGCAAATAAAAATGTATCATGTCGTACACAACATACCCTAAAATTAAAAAAAAAATATTTAATTATATTTTTGACAAAAGATATTCATTTACCAAGCAATCCTCCAGCCAAAAGAAGAAGAAGAAAGTGGTCAGGGGTAATAAAAGATAAAAGTTTATAAATTAGGAAAGTTAAAATGGCGGCAGGAAAGGGCGGAAATACTAGTCTTCTTGAGTCAAACGGAACCTAAAAATACAAAAAATATTGACTTGATTAATCATTATTATTATTATTATTGTTAATAAAAGCCCAATGATTTAAAAGAATTAAAGTTATTTTTTTAATCCAGCTGTTTTTTTGGGTCCCTGCTGACCCCCAATACCTATTATGTTACCTAGATAACCCAGTGAGCATTTTTTTGTCGCATTTGGGGAAAACTTCCGAAGTTGTGTCATAGCTAGTGTCAATTTGCACACACTTGTTTCGAAACGACGACTGCTGTATGACAAATACGTTTCGAAACTGAAGCACCGTGACACAACACATCAAGGGATATACCTAGGAATTGTGTGTCCGACTGGGTCAACGACTGTTTAGTAATCAGTACTCAATTCCTATACTTTGACGTACACAATGCCCATCTAATGACGTATACGTGTTTAACACAATTCCCAAATTATTACTGCTAAGTCACAGTATACAGTATAAAGTAAAAGAAGACACAAAGTGGTAAATATAATATTAATTGTAACAGCTTTAACTTTATAAAACACAAAGTGCACAACTATGGTAACAATAATATTAATAATGATATTCTTTTAACTTTAATGTTTCTATTTCATGGATGCATCACCATACTAAAGTATATACATATATAAATTTATTATAATGCAATAAATAAACTTAATAATTTAAAATGCCTAAAACAGTCGGAAAACCCAATTTTTCTTGCGACAAAAATTTTTTCCTGTAGTTTTTTTATGCTCTAATGAAATAGAGAGCACCCCTTTGTAAAAATAATAAATAACGAAAAAAAAATCGTATTTTCAAAAAAAAAAATATTTTTTTACCCATATATGTTTGTTATGTTTGTTATTATAGTTTTTGTGGGGTGGTTTATCAAAAAGGATGGTTATTTGTTAATAATTTCTTAATTTCGTTGTAAATATATGAGTTTAAGTATTTATTAAGTAATGGCTCTGATCATAGAATAATAAAGATGGCTACAGGAAACAAGATTCCCTGTTTGTGCCCTATTTGTGAAACCACACGCAGAGGAGGTATTGTGTGACCCATAAACTACTTCGTTGCAAACATGTTCTACCATTTGTCAATTATAACACAAATAAGACATTGTTTTAGTAAATGTGTCAATTATAGCGCAAAACAGGAATTGTTTCACGCAATACCGTGTTTACACGCATGGCAATACATAACCTATAAAAACAATTGTTAACGTTAACGCAGTTTAGTTTTTCTATAGTTTAAAAAGATGTTTACGCTGGTCACTACCAGGGTTGGGTCAGTAGAAAACCTTAGGTAATTTACCTTGGTAGAAAAGGGTAGAAAACTTGTTTTCGACTTGCGTCGAAAACCTATAGGGTTTTCTACCTACGTAAATTACCTTATTCGACCTTCTCCTTCCACTTCTCTATAATTGATAAAAATTTGCCCTCATGCCAAAAATTATGTTGGGGTCTCCCAACCAAACGTGGCCCTTTTTTTCCCACCATAATAATGTTAAAAAACTCCAAATAACTTCAAATTTATGGTAGGTGTCTGATTTTTCACAACATTTAACAAATCATAATAAACAACAAACTTGCATAACCTCACATTTTTTGATATTTGACAGTATTCTACTTTTTTACGTTTTCTACCGTCGAAAACGTCGAAAAAGGTTTTCTACATGTCGAAAACAAAAATGTAGGTAGATACCCAACCCTGGTCACTACCTTAGAAAAAAAAAGACTGTGTTTCATGTTAGTGCCGGATGGATGGATTAAAAATAATTTATTATATTGGCCGAAACATTTCCTAAGATGGGAGGTAGAGAGGCTAAGGGCCGACCCCTGTTCTTGTCCTGAGGAAACGACATTTTGTTCTAAACTAATATTTTTTAAACGTGCGTATGTTCTGTGCGTGCGTACAAATACGGAATATATAAAGTAGGAATTAAACCTAAAATTTTCCCAGATTGAAACCTACGATTTGTTTGTGAAACAATATAGACATTTTAACTGTTAAAACACTGTGTAGTCGCAAGAAATAATTTTATAACACATTGCAGTAATTGTGTGATGTGCGATTCCGTATTTGTACGCACGTTTAAAAAATATTAGTTTAGAACAAAATATTTCATACCAAAGTTACCTGTGTGGCTATATGAACACAATGCCTACAGTTTGTTACACTTTACTTTCCACAGATCCCTTTTTGCGACCATGATGGACACATATATGTGTATACACATTAAGGTAACAGTTTTACACAAATCCTTGGTTGCGTCATACATCAAATGGTAGTAAGGAACTGCGACTCGTGTGTATACACAAGTCCTATATTGTGTACTCTATACACAATTCCTCTCTGGTGTCAGGAAGTCATGGTGTCATGACGTCACTGTGTATTTTTTAACACAAAACAAGGTCTCTGCGACGTAACAGCAATGTCGCAATAGACACATTTCCATTTTAGGAATAAAATGCTCACTGGGAAAATAACCTATAATAGTAGTTTCGGATTAACATTGGATAAATTGCTAACTAGACAGAGAAAAAGCTTTTATATTGTGAATGGGTTAACCATTGAGCCATTGGTGTACGTACTGTGTTTGCAATACCTGAATGATCAAATTAATGATTGTCTTACTTTTATTTGTGCAAACCTGCTTAAAATTTGTTCAAACATAAGAAGTCATTGAATTAAATTATGATTCTATTAAATCCGTATTAAAACTTAGTTGGTTAAAACATAAGAAATTATTGAATTAAATTTTATTTAATTGAAGCCACAATGAATCTTAATGAAAAACTATCATTGGCATAAGTAAAGTTATGGTTTCTAATGAATGGCTACATTAAATGCAATCAAAGCTCTATTTCCTTTAAATATGTATATTTTTCTGCAAATATTATTTGTATAATACATTAATATGAACTTTAAATAAAATGAATTCTGGAAACTGCTTCTGGTAGTCTTGTGTACACAGGTTTTCGATCCATAAAATGAAATTGTTCTGTTTTCTGTAGAACTATTAGGAACCCACTGAAAGTGTTGATGATTTTAGGCTCTAATAAAGTTGCTGACCCATCGCTAGCAACAGTTACTGTACTAGATGTGCAGGATCTGTCTGCCATGGCACATGGTTATAGGAATTTCATATTATGTATTTAGAGGCGAATCCTAAAGATTACTGAAAGTCCTAAAACAAAATATACTTTCAGGACGCCCTGCAAGGATATCATGATGGTACTGAAAGACTATGATAAGTTTTTTTATTAATAAATAAAAACTTCGTCCATTTAAGAAAAATACCGAATATCAAGATAAACTGTGGTATATACCTATAGGCAGAGCTGTCAAGTAATTGAATTAAAAGAATTGAAAATGTAATTGAATTACTTTTCAGTAATTGAATTACTTTAATTCAATTATATTTTTAAAACCTTAAAAGTAATTGGTGCTTCAATTACTGTCTAGAAAGTAATTGTAATTGGTAATTGTTTTTAAGATATTTGAGTAATTAAATTATTTTTTAAATAATTCAATTCCTTTATAGTAATTCAATTCCTTTATTGTAATTCAATTACCACAAAATATTCAATTCCCATTTAAAAACTAGTACGTACCTACTAATTTTTAAATGGGAGTTGAACGTACGTTGCTGTTTTCAGTTTATTAAAATTTAGTTTAAAGTTGTTGTTGATTTTTTTAATGCTCTACACATGTTTTAAATAAAATAAGTCCCAACTAGGTTTACTGAATCGTCAAGTAGTATATCTAGATGGCGTTACACCGTGTAACTTACCCGGTTCAAAACAGTTCACTGTACTGAGTAAACCAGGTTGGGTTCTATGCAAAGAACACCAAAGTTCCTGTTCCTGGTTGGCAACACAATAATCGCCCGAAAGTCTGAGATGCACTTGACACAGGTCACAAGGCTACCAACTTACACAACATAATGTTACGTACGAGCTTCATGTCTATTATGTTTTAGATAAAAATGCATAGATGGCGCTGATTATTTTCTTTCTTTAGGCGGGAATTTTAAATGTAATGTACAGGTAATTCAATTAAATATAGTAATTCAATTACTTTTAAGGAATTTGACGCAGATAAAGTAATTGAATTACTAGAAAAAGTAATTGAATTATTGTAATTGGATATTTTCAATTCCTTTTAGTGGTAATTGATAATTGCAAGTACTTTTGAAAAACTAAAGTAATTGGTAATTTGTATATTTTTTTGGATACCTGGTAATTGGTAATTGGTACTTTAATTACTTTGTAATGGTAATTGTGACAGCTCTGCCTATAGGTACATACATATATGTACAGGGTGTCCCAAATTGGTTGTCCGTATAGGGTCATATATCTTAACCTAAAAGAACTAAAAAAAATCTGTCGACACTAATGAATTCTGTGATAAAAAGTGCCTACATAACATTTTAAACCTGTATTCGTAACTCAAATATTAACGAAGCTACAAGCATTTGTCAAAATTGGCAAAAATTGAAAAAATAGGTATATCTCCTAAACAAATGCGAATCGAGAAAATTCAAAGAAATCATCCGATGTATCTTTAAAAAAGACGACGGGGATGCGTGGTCGAATTTTTTCTAGCATTTATATTTACTGAGATAGCCTATACGGACAACCAATTTGGGACACCCTGTATATGAGTACACATTTACCTTTTTGTTATCATTTAGATATAATTAAGTAATTAAATTACTGGATAATGCATTGCGGACATACAATTAAAAAACATGTACAACTTACCTTTAAAATTCGGGATTAGGAAGTACAACCCCCAAGAAATTAGCAAATATAACAAACAACCAAACACTACCTACACCAAAGATAACCCATAAACTTACATCAAACGGCGTCACCAGAAATACCGATTAATCAGTTGATCACATTTAACTATACGCACGTATGCGATTGCAGGTTGCCGATGTGTGGTCTGGCGCGTTTGTCTGAATTTTAGCAATTAAATTGAATATAGGCCACATTGAAAAA